TTTATATTGGCATCATCACTCTTCGGGTATTTTAGAATTATATCAATCATGACTACGTGAGTGAGGGATTTTAGAGTAGCATAATATACATATAGCTATAAAAGAACCAGGCTATTCATTGCGGTATTGCATTATTGTGAATAAGATGAGTGCTCAAGGCAAGTGCTTTTGGGCGTTTTTAATTTTTAAATATTGTATAGGTACTTACATATCATTATTGCCAGTCACCGCGCGTGTACGATATACCTGGGTATATTATCAAATAATTTGAAATTGTATATTATTATCATTGATTATACATATTAGTTAACTATCTAATGATACTATCTGATAATATCTGTAAAAAAATAATATTATAAATATAGAATACGGGAATATGCAATATAGGTAATTTATAATATTTATAAAATTTTAAAAATATGTCTACTAGTTACTAGATATAGATGTGGTATCTTCTTACATTTAACTAGTTTACTACATGGTACCTACAGTTTTTCAGATACTCGAGAATCGTCATAGAAGATGGAAAGTAGTTTTATTTTCCAGTCAATTTCTTAGTTGCTTTGCTTTCCATAATAATCCACGCACCGCCGGTAAACGTATTCAGTTAATCCACCTCTGCATGCCGATTGGAATAAGATTCACTTTTAAATTTGTTGAAAATGTATCTTTTTTGTATTTCTGGGCATTAGCTGGTTTAGAGTAGATATACTATTATACTAAAAATTAAAATGTAGGTATCATAATTTATAGCATTTATTCAGACATCGTGCAGTAGGATGTGTCAGAGAAGTACCGACTACCGGGTAAATAATATTATCATCGTATATAAATATAATCTATTATTACCTACGGATTTACCTTAGATTGACGATACCACGGATATACCCAGAATATAATAATATACGAAGTCCTTGGTCTGAATCGTTTTTCGGAGATTATAGAGTGCGGATATATGAGGATTGGGGAACCTATGGCTATAATAGCAAAAAAGAACCGTGGTCGAAAGTGAAAGGCGTTCGAGGTTGTTTTTGAGAAAAAAGACGTGCGGCCACAATGCGTGATACATTCATACATAGGTACATCTTAATTGTTTTGTCAACGTAATGAACGATATATCAGCGCCTGTTTTGTTCGATAGTCCTAAAGTTGATAGGCACCTAGTAACCTAACCTACCCTAACCTGTGGTTTTGGCGATCCAAGCTGTTATTGTTTTAAAACAAAGAGTAAACCTTATACCATACTTATAGTATGGTATTTATGTTACTTTATATTTATGTTACTTATAGTATGGTATATTGCCATCATATTGCTGACCTAATAGTCATAGAACAAACATTTTTTTTTATGAAGAGCTGTTGTCTTAAGCAATTAAGCTCGACTGTTATTTACAGTCTCACAATTACATACCTACAGGCTACAAGGATACAATATAATATATTAACATCTATACATACAGTGAGTTTCTTTTTCTTTTATTTTTATAGGTGACACGAAATATTTCAGTTCAGTGCCCTAGGGTTGATATGGTGTTTTCGGGAGGAGATAGGGGTATAGAAATATATATAGTTTGAATTTTGATGATTTTTAAATTTTTTAGTTTTTTCAGTGAAAGCATGCGCAATACAATTTGCATTTGGTTTAACAGGCATTAGAACCCCTTCCAAGCTCCAAGTAACCCCTAGTAGGTTTCCAAGCTTGAATTTCAGACATATTCGATCTATTTTAAGTAGTGGAAGGTCTAATTAAGCTTTGAATAAATGAAGACAATATTGCCTAAAATATGTTACCTCTGTAAACGCATCATACGCTAATCCAGGCTAACAGTGGTGTCCCACACTATGTACTACGAGCAATCTTTAGGTGTGCCGCGATGTTTTGAAAGTTTTTTTTCTTTGATGTCACCGATTGCATTGAACTGTGAAACATAAAAATATAACGAATAGACTATTTACAGCAAAAAAACTAATTTAGTTTCAACTTTCAAAACATCAATTAGCTTGGCGGGCCATAGGTTTGGAGTCCTCTGGACTATATTGTTGTTTTATAATTTATTTTGTCATGTTATTTAAATCAAAGTTAAGACTGAATGTAATAAAATAGATAAATATTAAATATTATAGGGTCAAACGTTAAAAACTGATTATAGATTAAGTAGTTATATAATTCATATTTTCATAGCAATTAAATTATGTTTTAGAAGGTTTATTTTTATATACTATACAATCATATTTAATATAAAGGTGGTAAAAAAAGCATTTGTAGATAATCAGGAATTTAGATCAGGCCCAGTAGCGTAGCTGGGGGGGGGGGAGAAGGCATGGGTGGATGTCCCTCTTGATATTTTTTATTGTTGATGTTTTAATCATGGTTATAGCCTTACAGCCTGTAGGTAAAACAATCATATAGTGTCCAACTTTATTATATTAGTACATTAGTAACATTGTTATGTTTTATGTGGAAAATAAAAGTCCTGTTTTAGTCTTCCTCTCACAAGAGGTTATTAACTATATTTAAAAGTAGTTGTAGAAAAGTGTAGAGAGCCTTGGGTATTATATGTGTACCACACAAGTACAAGTTCATTCAAAGCTCAGACACATCTACATTAACAATTAACTTCAAATTTCATTGACATCAATTAATATTTTTCACAAAGAAATTCATTTTACTAATCATTGACTTACCATTACAGGTCTAAATATGTCTAATAAAGTAATAAGTAATAACATATTTTGTTTTAAGATTCATTGGTGGTTAGGTTAGGTTAGGACACATTTTTTGTCTTTATTGAGATTAACAAAAAATTATTGTATCTTAACAAGGTATATATCAATATAAATGATCACAATAAATTGTGTTACTTGGAATAAAACAAAGGTAAACAATCCCTTGGACATCATTATTAAAATTTACTGTGCATACTCTTTATTATGTTCAATGATTTTATTCAAGCTAATCCAGTATCTTATTAACAGTACCTAGTTAAATAAGTCATAGATGGTCAAATTGTATGTTGTTAATAATATAATAACAAATTATGTATGAACCAAATAGAATTAGGACACTAGGGACCGATAACTGCATTCAGTTGATAACCTCAGACAGTGATTTGGCCACATTTAATGTCTTACAATAGCAAACACTAAAACAATAAATTACCAAAGTTCTTGTCCAATAGTACATTGAAAAACAATATGAGAGTGGGAAATATTTCATGAGAAATAATTAAGAGAGTACAGTAGGAGTATTTGTTCAGTATATAATTTTTTTTTATGACCATCAAATGTCTAAACCAAAATCTAATAATATTTACGGGTGAAAGGTGATAAAATAAATATAGGTTAATTAAGATTACAAATTATCATTTGTCTTATATCAAAAAAATACACAACTACTGTGTGTAAATGGCACATCACTGAACATATTTATATATTCAACAAAACAATACAATACAAATAAATAAATAGTGAAAATTCAAACCGTTTTACAATTTGTTTTCAAAAAGTTTAATACACTCTGCTCATTATCTGATCACACACATAAACACACACAATTATTTAATCTAATATTATACAAACATGTGTATAATATATAATACATAATATATATGTTATACATAAGAAAAGAGTACAAAATACAATGTATATTTTTATCATAACAAAATACAATATTTTTCAACTATACTTAAGGTATTTTAAATTCCATCTGTTGACAATAGGTAAGACGTAAGGGAAGAAGTTATGGTTAAAATATTTGGATTAAAAAAAAGCGCAATATCCTTGTTTGGATGTAATCGTATATAAAGTTGCATGTTTAAATAGCCATTAACTAATAGTTTTAATAATAATAATAATAATAATAATAATAATACATTCAAATGACAAACATATTACAGAAATGTATAAAAATAGATAACAAATGTATTAAAAAGTATAATGTATTTACATATGAATTTAAAAAATTATAAATGACCGAAACTACAGTATTAATTCTAACGCATTAACTCTGAAATTATCTTAACACAATAATGTGATGCTCAGTATGGTAAAAGATATATGAGATGAACTTACTAGAGTATCAATTGCATTTTCATGGTAGTATTTATGGGAATCACAAAACAGGTTGAGCATGTGTACAACTGATTATTATAAAATTTGAAATAATGAAAGTTATTATAAAATTGGCACTTGAGTTTTTTTTTAATAAATAGGTTATTTTATTTATATTCAAATTCGCATAAGCACCCTGTTCATCATAAAAAAGTTGTACTGTTTATTTTAAATACAATTCTGTTGAAGGAATATTAATAAATTATTTTGTAAATACACTCTATTATAAAAAAACACAACACAAATTGTTGTATTAATGCTTTAAATAACAAGTGAAATTTTGTTAGAACTTCCCATGATAATAACATGCAATAATTACAATAATTGTACCACACATTAAAATTGTGTCTGAATGTCGTTGGATACTTATTAATAATGCAATTTATAAAATTAAAAATATTAAATGCATAATAGGACGATAAAAATTGTAAATTAATACAAGACCATTCCAATTATATTGTAAAAGATTGTTAAGGCTTTATGTTTGTTTTATTTCTTACTAAATAATATCTAAACATTTTAATAGGCATTGATTATGTTTTCGAACTGTAATGTTTGGTCATAGATATGAGTTATATTAAATATTTTAATAAATATATTAAGTTTAAAAATTCAATGTAACTATATATAATCGGAATATCCATACAAATATTTTTTTAATTATTGTATTCGATATTATATTACAGGCAGAATTAAAACTAAAATAATAATTGGGTTACTATCTTATAATTAACAAATTTATTTTAAGCTATAGCAAAATAATTAAATTTCGTTGTTAAATTTAAAATATATATCAATTAAATCAAAAATGCTTATTAAAAACAATTAATAAGTGTACGTTGAATGCAAGTTTTTCAGAATTTGTTTTATACAAGCACTTAGTTGCAATATCTTATAAATAAATGGTTTTTTTTTTTAAATTAAACAATATTTATAATTTACAGTCAAAATTGTCTCTATTATCAAAGTTACATAGATCATTTTAAATTCTATCAGCACAAAACATTGTTATAGTTTCATGAAACACTATTTGTATTCAAACCAGCATTTATTTATTTGCAATAATATTATATTGTTTCCAATATTTATTGTAATGCTCAATAAAGGACTAGAGATTCATGGAGTAGTTAAATTTGTTTGGAAGCACATTTTTAATTAAAAGATTCTAGATTGAGATAGAAAATTAATATTGTTTTGTAGTTAACATATCTGTTTATAACCACACAATTATAAGTCCCAAAACTAACAATCAAGATTCTTAATTTTAAAAAAAATTATACTTACGTGTAACTGACCAATTCAACCAAACAGTATTTAATTAACATTATTTTTAGTTGGGCATAATTATTCAAACCTTTTAATATGAATTTAACAAATTAACTTTGTGAGTTAATAAAAAGTGCTGAAAGAATACAAATAATAATATAACTCATTATAAATAAAAAGGACAATTACAAATTGAGGGAAAAAGAGGAACATAACTTAATATATTATATCGATAATAAAAATTTTAAAAACACACTGAAGACTAGAGAAAAGTAGAATTGTAACCACTTTGAGCATGTTATTTTGTAATTAAATAATGTATGTTGTCATAAATATAGCAAATATAACCGGAATACACCGAGTTTATCTCAAAGTTCCTTATAATTGTTTAAAAAAAATTGTTGTACCATACGATTAGTCATCATCGTCATTAGTATCCACATGTTCTGTATCATTATCTTTGGTTTCCACATCATTCTGGTCATTATTTTTAAGAACAAGAGAATCACCACTATCTTTGGCTACATCAGTAGTATCTTCGGCTGCTCGAGCTTCTAAAGCCCTTATACGGTTTTCATGTTTTACAATCATGGCTTTTAACTTCCGAATTTCCTCTTTAAATTCTTTCACAATATCATCCTAAAAATAAATAGTATTTAGTATGACAAATTTAAAAAAATCTTGGTTGAAAATGTACATAAAAAAAAAATGTTTTCGCACTGCTTTAGTGGTGCCTTACACAACAATGTAACTATTAATAGTTAACAATAATGTAAATGTCATTGTTTTTACTAACTGGAATTGATTGCTGTGGCTGAATAAATTGTGGTTTAGCTACTGGTGGTGCGGTCGTATTGTTTGAACTGGACTTGACTGTTTTATTTGCTGATGGTTTATCCAATATATTTGGCTTTTTAGCCACCTTCATTTCAGAAGCAGTAGGCAATCGTGTTGGCTGATGATAATCTTTTAATGATATCAGTATAGGTTCAGCATCTTGACCATTAAACCAATCTTCAGCATCTATTGCGGGAATATCTCCTATAGTGTCCGGGTATAAATCTTCTTGAAATAACTCTGACTAAAAACAAAATTTAATTACAATTTTTAAATTTATAAAAAAATAAGTAAAAAGTTACTACCTTTCTTGGAACCGTCATGCTGATTGCTTGACAGAGTCCAGAATTATTTAAACGATAAAACTTTGATATTTCACAAATGGATACATCACAACCACGTTTCGGCATCATACCAATTCCTCTTTGAGGATCTGGTGTTTGGAACGTATTAATGTAGTGAACAAATGGATGTTCAGCCGTAATTTCAAAATATCGAATAACACTATCCCCCTAAAAATATATATTTATTTAAATGCGTCTCTCAAATAATAAAACATGATTAAAAATAACACATTACCTTGCCACACAAGTAAATCATACTAGTATCAGGATCATACAGTGGAAACATGACTCCATTGCTTGTATCTAATTCAACCATAACAATAGGATCATCTAGTTTTTCAGGAGATCTCAATGAATACTGTCTTTCAGAAAGTTTACTAAAACCAGTTGTAAATATAAGGCCTCCTTTTAAAAATATACCTCGGGATGCCTTGCTACCTTCATGACATATTACTTCCTACAATAATAATGAATAAATATAAATATTTAAAATTAATGAACTAAAATGTATACCTGCTCGATTTCCCCACTTCTAGGATTGATTAGCCTCAACTTTTTATCTTTACATGTTGTCAATAACTGTGATCCGTCAAAATTCCATGAAGCACTAAATACGATATCTGGGTGGCAGTCAATATGAATAAGTGGTTCACCAACACCAACATTCCAGATTACTACTTGATTATCAGATCCTATAAAAACAAAACAAGTATAAATATTACATTTTACAATAAATAATTCAAAATAAAAATTACCAGCAGATAATAAAATATTTCGAGCTGTTGGGTGCCATAAGACTAGACCAACTCTCCTCTGGTGATAAATTAAATCTACTACTGATTCAGTTAATGTGCTATATAAAAAAATTTGATTTTTAGTATAAAATTAAATAAGTTCAAAAATAAAATTAAAAAGTTCACATACCGTGAAATTCCACCGTCGGGAATTTGCCAAACCTTTACCACACAATCTTCAGAACCGCTAGCAATTACATTGTCATTATGCGGACACCATGCTATGTCCAACACTGGACCTTTATGACCACCAACTACAGGTTGGTCAGCGGGTAATCGACCAGTCTAAAAAAACATTTATCACGGAGTTAATTCTATCCAAGCCATGAACAATTAATATAAGTAATTTGGATCATTTGCATAAACCGCTCATTTCTCTTATTAGTTATCAGTTATCATGTATATAATTGTTGAACTATAAAAGTTTTATACTTGTAAGTAACGAAAAAATTCAATTATTTAATATTGATTTTTTTTGTAATTCTATTTTAAATTTCATTTATAATTAACTAGTGTGTAATAAAAAAAATAGTCATGCTGTTGAAAACAAGCGTTTAGTGTATATGTGATATTCATTCTCCGCCATTTACAGAAAACAACAAGTATTTAAGTATGGAGTTTATTTATAAACAAAGTAAGTTTAATTTTACGAAAGAAATAAGATTTTTAAGGAATGAGCAAACTTCTTTAAATTGTTCTGTAAAACCAGCCACATTTTAGGAAGACATTGTATTGGTAATATAAAAAAAAATCTTCTTACAAATAGCCAGTACGCGGCTTCTATAAATAATTAGCTTAAAATCCACCATAAACCTAAAACCAATTTTAAGTTAAAATAGCCAAGTTTAAAATAAATTTATTTATTTTTAAATGAATTCAGAACCGAAATAGTTTCATTCACGAAATATTTAATAATAGTACACATTGTTATAAAAACTACCGAGTACTGGCAGATGCATTAAAAATATTTTCTGGGGAAACCCTAATCAAGCTAATAATAATAATATGGGTACTAGACACTAGTGAAAATAATTAATGATAACAATTTTTAAATATTTATCGTATACATTAATATCCTTGAATTAAAATCAAAATTATTAATAACTAATAAGCAAACGATAAACAATACCTAAACATTTCATTAAAGTAAATCTCAAAAAATATTTGCTCGTGTTTAAATATTATTATTAAAATGTCGAGTTACCTCTAAAGTTACCTCTGGTAAAAACAATAGAGGTTAACTTGTATACATTTTCTAAATTCAAATATATTACTAAACAATCTAATATTGTTTAAATATTTTCTTATGTATATCGATACACATTATTGGTTAACATTTTCAGTCTTCGCAATTTTTAATTATAACAATATCACTAACAATTTTTAAACTAGTCATAAATCAAGTATATAAATAGAAAAAAAATCAATTTGAAAACCACTAACGTATGCTCTACACGAAATCAAAAATGCATATAATATAACTTGATAGTACTTTGATTTTACACATAAATGTACATTTACATTTACTCATGTAATTCAAACAAACAAAAAAGTAAAAAACACACCTGTTATGGACTTTATAGTTCTATGATCTATGAATTATGATATATATAGTATCCAACCACGTATTACAAAATAACTAATGATACGAAAAAAAACCATAAGGAAACAATATAAACTGTAAACTATTGTTTAGAATTTAGTTATTTTTACGTGTACGCACATATCTTAGTGATATGAGTCACTAAGTTAGTATAAATGCACCGTAGAGTATATACACAACTGTATAATATGTATAAATAATTTTGTACGATGATAATGATTTTGTTTTGTTCTCAGTCCATAATTATTGTATTTGTAAATAATGGAACATATATATATCAATAGTACTTAATATTATACCTCAATATAACATTAAAAACAATAAAACCAAGGAAATTGCAAGACACCAATTTTTCATTGCACAAATACGAATTCTTTTAAAATGCATAATATATTTATCATTTGTAGAATGTCATTGAAATTATTGAATGAAATATAAACGAACAGTTTAAATAACAAAAAATACTCTAGCATTGTTCATATTATTATCTAGGTAGGGGGTCCATCATTTTTATTCTATCCGTATTCTTATTTCTTGGCAATGTGTTTGTATGGACCATGAATATTAATTATGACGTCATCCGTTAAGATAAATACATTGAGCATGTACTGAATGAAATTAATTGACCTGTATAGCTGTAATATTGTTATAACGCACAGTTATTTCATAAGTGTTTATTTAAGTATTTTACTTATGTGGAATAATTAAGTTATAACTTATAATAATAGTATATAATAATATGATATGTGAAATGTACATTATATAATGTTAAATACATTTTACAACTTTTTAATTTGTGCCAATTTACCCAATTAAGAAAACGTAATATTTTTAATAGGCTAAATATTAACTACCATATTATTACAATAATATATTAATATATTATACTATTGTCTTTATTGCCTTTTAATTCACACAATTATCTATACTAAAAATATCGATATTGAAATATACTACAAATTGAGTGCAAGGAAAAATTGGCATTTTGCACACGGCAACCGTTCAAATGTATTTTTGATGATTTTAATCTCCTGGGAGAACTTTAAATATAGAAATCATGAAGAACAGTTATTATGTATAAATTATTTTAGGCTTACAACGTCACTAAGTGGGGTTGCCCTGATTATGTCGAGTGCTGACCACAGAAAATATACGAATCAAAATAAATACACACTACCATACAGACCTCTTAATTACAATTATTGGATGTTTAGCTGGCCTCAGCAAGAGCTTTGTTTTAAGTATTAATATACATAATACACAGTTACTATTGTGATTTTTACCATCATTCTTTATTTATTCATTGGTTAAATAAAGATGATCCCATCATGAAATAGGTAGTAGGTACTATCTTAAGTAGTGACTCATTTTTATTCTGTATCTGGTTGCGAGGTCAATTACGAATTAGATAACTATAGTCCATAATTTATAGATGGATTGATTATTTATCTTTTTTTATGTATCTACTTAACAATAATTATGACTGTTGAAAAATTGAATTAATTTTTAAGAAATGAAATTGCCAAATCTGAACCAAAGGTTTTCCAACAACAATTTGATTTACTATTAAATTATTATTAAATATTTATTAAATATAATACCTATATAGAATTTTCAATTTTAAAACAAAACCGATGTATATAATTCATATTTGTTTTATTAATATTTAGTCAGTGACTATGACAGCTTGACAATTATTTTAAGTATATCTAGGTAATTCATATTTAACCTATTTTACATTTGTAAATAAGCCTACCAAAATATTTAAGTTTTCCAACACAGTAATAATTTTAAGAGAAACAAATTAATAAATTAGAATTAAGTTCTTCACATAAAAAAACTTATTCATCTATATACAATTTATTTCCTTCTAGATAATGTAGATAAAGCATATCTAAAAATGATTATAGTATAATATCATAACAAGATAGTCAACAACTAAGTCTTAACAATATAAAAATGATATTAATACATATATTGATAATAGCATTTGTTTCTGATGTAGTTGCTCGAGTAGTTGTTACTTGTTTAGCTACTATACTACGACATCATATTTAATTACAATAGATATACAAATCATCACATTACATTGCATATTTGGTGTCAATGATAAAGTTCACATAGAAATAGCTAAAACATTATTCCAATTTACTACTTAAATTTCAATACTTAATGTAACAGTACCTAATTTAATGATGAAATGAAATCCATAATGTAAACTATCCTGTTACTAAAAAGATAAAAGTTTATATTTAATACTTTATTCTTATTTGTGGTTTAAAAATATATATATCAATAACTGGCATATCCAAACTAAAATAATCTATAAGTACCTATCTAGGCCAAGAGTACCTATACTTAAAATTGTCTTCTACTTTTTTCCTATGAACAGTAAAACTAGCAAAATATTGTTAGCATACTTTTGATCTAATAAGCAAATTTGATTTATTTTTATTCTAATGAACAGCTTACCTTTTTGACTAATATAACAAATTAAAAATGCCTGAATAACTAACTTTATAAGAAAAATGTAATACCTAATGGGTTTATGAGAATGAGAAAACAAGTTCTAATTTTGAATATACATATTATATACATGTATAACCTAACCTATATTATGACACATTTATTTATACTTCAGCTACAGTAATACACATATTTATTTATATTATGTAAATAATTATCTTCAGTTTCTATGGGTAATTACTTAGTTAATGAAAACAAATTAATTAATTTTAGAAAACTCACCTTTGAAAGAGGTAAAACAATAAAAGCGCCCCCGCCAGCTGATTCAACAATACAGGCCACAAATTTTGGATTCACTGCACAAAATGTGGAATCCCATGAAGATTTGGATACTCGAATATTGTCATAACAGTATTCACGTTTTAGAGCTGTGCCATAAACGTGACGAAACTTACTACTTCTTACTTTAAAAGACATCTGTAAATAAACAAAATTATTACAAATTAAATTACACCATATCATAGGGGTAGACCAACTACTAAATTATTTTATATGCAATACAGACATTAGTTAATAGATATGTATATTTTCATCAGGTTTAATGTTTTTAGTGATTCTGATAATTTCAGTGATCAATTGTACAGCAAAATATTTAAATATGTATTATGTACCTTTATTTTCTGTTTTTCCACCAACAGCAGAGGAGGCTCTGTTTGAACAATACTACTCCTCTGCTGCTATCATGTATTATGTACCTAATGTATAGTAAAATGCCAAGGTACCTAATAAAGAAAAGGCATAGAGGACAGCACAGCTGGCCATGGTGTATAAGTGAAATGTACTTAATCCGACTGTTCAATATGTCATAATTTATAAGTTACAAATTCATTGTAGGTACTAGGTATATACGAGTACTAGGTTGATTATCTCCCAGACCATCTCTGAAAAGCATATTCAAGAAGGTTGAGAACCATCATTGGACTTCAATTTATGGTTACTACCTATCGGTAAACTCCTTAAAAAAATGAGTAGCACACAATTATTATTAGGAACCTAAGACACATACATAGTTGAAAACTTGATCATATTCAATTTTTACTTTACATCAAACAACTTGAAAAGTCTAATTTGATAAGAAAACTCTTGTTATAACAATTGCTTATCATAATACATTTGAAACAATATTTGTATTAAATAAATATATTTATATTACAGGTACGCATGAGTATTGAGTATAATAATGTGTTGATTTTCTCTCTAAATTTATAACAGAATATGAATCACAATATCTCCAACTTTATCAACAAAATCTCAAATACAACTGGATTCAAATTCAAAATCTGTATCCACTTAAAAATATTTTGTAATAACTTTGAATATGTAAGAATACTACTGTTATGCAAATATACAAGTTCAATTGAACTAGGTATCAAATATTCACTTTGTATTTTTGGTAATGTTTTGCTTTACTGACTTTGTCCTAATTAAAATTAACTACCTAGTACCTAGTGAACATTCGGTTGATTTAAAAACAACTAAAAAGTGGTCAAATATCGGGGATAATATTTGATTTTCAAACAACATTTGTATAAATTAATCAAGTCAATTCTACTATAAAAGTGTTAATGTATAAATAAAAACTAAAAACCTATAAATTTAATATTTTCTCACAGTAATCATGAGCAAAATTAAAATGTAAGATAAATACAGTAGGTATATTTTTCTGATTTTATTTTTTATTAATAAATAAGGTTATACCTAGGTAGTGTGGATACCTAAACATGCTTTTGTTCTCACAAAATTGGCTATAATAAATAAAGAAATAAAAACAAATGACTACATACAAATTAGCATTGATAACCTACATTTAACAATTTAAATATTCTTTGTATGTTCAAATCATAAGCTCTCGAAAATAATTAGGCAGGCAATTATTATATCTGAAACTGACTTTATTTCAATAAAAATGAATTTTAATAATTCTGAAGTTTTAGAATCTAAATTGTTTGTTTTCCAATGTCTCAACTAAAATAGGTATACAATTTATGCTTGCCGAAAAAAAAATGAGTGCAATACAGACAGATGTCCTCTAAAATTATGTCATTGACAAACATCCATCAAGATTCGAACGGATTCCAAAAAAAAAGGCGTGCAACCGACAGACGAGCCCTCGACGTAGGTACGACAATCTGGCACTGAACATCCCAATAATTATCGAGCAAGTACGTCGATGAATAAAAATGAAATGCAATCGGCACGCTGAGTACTGAGAAACTCGTAATGAGTAACCCGAAAACGATGTAATAAGACTCACGCCCCCAGGCAAAAGTTTGGGTGCTGTGGGTATTTAGACATATCTTACAACCGTAACAATAATAATACCGGGACCCAGGTGCCTATCGAGTCGAAAAAAGATGACTCGATTCGACTTGGGCAATAATACTTATAAAAAAAAATAGACAAATCGCTTAACGTGAACTCACCTCGGTGACTCATGCAACGGGAATTTCTCTAGAGTATAATACGTATAATCTGTATATTTGATATATTTTTTTTCCCCGGCGTTATCTCGGAAACTGCTAACGGAGCCCAGGCGGTCCAGCCAAATACGTGTAGGTACGGCCGCGAGTGTGTGCGTGTGTGGCGGCGACGCGAGTGTGCGGAGCGGATGAGAACGAATTATTTCGAAAAGTATCAAAGTTCGCGAGATATCGTCGATCGGCGGAACCGCGCGATAATTAATAAATTGCGATCGTTGCGGTGTGCGTTGACGAGCGGAGAAAAAAAAAATCAAATAAATAAATATTGTAACAGACGGACAAGATAACCGGAACGTCGTTTCGACCGCGCGACGCGGGGGGAGAAGACGATATTAAGCGGCTCGGACAACGGTCAACGGCTGAACGGCGCGGCGAACTGGCCGTGAATCGGAGGGAAAAAAAAAAGGTCCCCGTCTAATATCACTGAATCACTCTACCATATTTGGCGTTTGCGAGTGGAAACGCGACGGCTGGCTACTGAATCGGTGGAAAGACGGATGGATGGCCGGGGGTCGTCCGCAGTCCGCCGGTTTATTTACAATCAACGACGCACGGGGCAGTGCGACACCGAGCGCCGTGGCCGCAGTGCCGCCAACGTCGCGGGACCCCCACGCGAGCGGCGAGCCGCGGTTGACGCCTTGACGACGGCATAGTGTCGCACGTCGTCGTCGCCGTCGCCGCGCACGTCTGCGACGGGTACAATGTATTTATGTGCATACATAATATATTTATAATAAATATACATATTACAGTATTATACGGACGTACCGCAAACGGATACGGTATGCCGGTGGTACGCATCTGCATTCTGCTGAACTACGCCATACTTTACCACCGACTACAATATTATTTATATAATTATTTATTATTAATTCTACTGTTCGTCAACACGCGCAGATGACACGCGTTTCGTATTCGTGTCGTGAAATCTTTTGCACACCGCACACGCATAACATATTATTATTATTATTATTATTATTATTATTATTATTACCTATCTGTTGTATCATCAACAAGACGAGACACATTATAATATTATTATGCAACGCCGGACGATTATTATTTATCAACGTTCGTAGTTCGTTTATAATATTAGTATTTCAGTGTTATATGACATACCTAACTATTAAATTAATATTTGAATTCTTGTAAGATATTGAATTTAAATTTTACAGCACAACAGCAGCGAAAAATTTAAACATTTTTCAATTAATTCAGATTTGATTCTTCACAGACAAATGAGTAGTTCTTGCTTCCTCCTCAGTCCTGGAGGTTTATAAATAATGGTTGAAAGATTAGATAATCCCTATAGAATATACTAAAGAATATTGAAAGCACGCCCAAATCAATCGATGCTCATTCAGAGTGATGACTAATGAGAATAAAATTGTCAAGATATCCGAAGCGTATCAAAACATTTTATTTTTAGTTTTATAAATAAACAATTATTTTTATAAATTGTTTGAAAGTTTGGAATACATTTACACAATGTCACAATAATGTGATTTTCATTCGATGAGCGTATAATACTATATATATTTTCCATTATATTAATATTATAGTTGTTTACATTTATAATATTGTGGTAAAGCTTACGTGAGTTACAACTTACAACAACAACATTATCATGATGATGCCTTGACGGCGGTATTGGCGTATTGCAGAATACCTAAACTACTTACTATTTTCAAAATTTAATTTCAGATTCGCCGAGCGATGAATGTATTGAATTTACGATAGGTGTAGTTTTCTTTTTCATTCTGTATGTCATCACTCATTCACTCATCACCTTTTGGGGCAGTAAAAATGGTTTTATTTTCTACTTTAACGTCTTTCCTGGTAGAAAAATGAATCTAGTTTTGAGGGGATCAGAAGAAAAAACTCCCATTCGTTTTCAAAATGTATTTCTAATTTCTATACTGTAGCCAGTAAATGCCTACCATCATCTGTAAATGCTATATCGGTAGTTCACGTGCTACATTTGACTGGCATTCTAATCCACCCAGTATCCCTCACTTCGATGGGTTATGGGTGGCGTAGGTTAAGTGGCTATTGGTGCGGATCATTGGTAATCATATTTTCACGTACCTATGAAGAGTTCTCAAAAGTTTTGGTGCTCATAGAAGTTGTACTTATACTCAATTCGTGTCCCCTTACAACCGCCTCTATCGATCTGCACGACCAAGATTGTCTGACAACGCGACATGTTTTAATTTGGCAACCTCTGATAGCGGTCCCACCCAGGTCAGACTCTGCTTTCCGCTCGTGATGTGTCAAATCGGTGGAAACTGTTGAACCGCCAATGCCATCCGGCATTTTGGAGCCGCTGGTCGTCGGAATACCTGATCCCCCTTCAGTACTTATTTGCAACGGTAAGGCTTATGACTTTCTTACATGCCACCAGAGAAAACTGTAAAGGTGTATGGTAAAAAAAGGTCCTTACGAGTTATGGCAGAAGAGAAATCTACCTCTAAGATGCTCCGAACAATCTTTTGATGAAGCCGCCTGTCACTCTCTGCAGAGACCATGGTCAGCACAATCGTGTCGACCGTGTCGTGACTTAGCCAGTGCATGAGCAGTGAGCACCACCCAACACAGTCACAACCAGTGGCGTCATTTGTGGGATGCAAGGGTATGCAAATGCATCCCATGAATATTTTTAAACACACTTTTTGTGTAGATTATTTTATAAAATTATAAAACAAATAACAATAGTTTTGTAATTTTTTTTTGATTTGTCACAATATTTTGTGGATCACCAATATAACATGATATCTACACCGTGTAAATAACGATAAAACGTCGATAACCGTTACTATTTTACTAACTTACAGCGGGGCCTCAAATAGTCGGGTTCGTTAGTGACGTCTAGCGGGCGGCAGGGCCCCCACTATTTTATTACTCCATAGTCATCCGTTGTCGTGTTGTCGTTTCTTGTTTGTATCGCGATTAAATATATTAATAGATATTTTTAATAGTGGTTTGTACTGTGGTAATATTATAAAAAATATGGTATTGAACCTTTGAACATAGTTAATATACTATATAATATTTATATTATTACTGTCCGTGTCGTTCTTGAATCGTGACACGCGTTGAATTTTTATACTTAAACACCTGATAAAATATCTATATTCTATATATTTTATAAGATGAATAAAAAACGTGATACATCAGAAGCTTCTATCATGTCGAACTACTAAAATAATTTCCATATTTATATAATAAATATCTATAATACAAAATACCACAAGACACACTTGCTCGCCACTCATGCACATATTATAATATTTTAGATTTTGAAAGGAGTAATAATGTTAATTTTACAATGATTTTTTTACACCTTATTCTATCTGCTTGACAATGCTTATACTATGCTTTTTTGATTTTTGCTTTTCAGATTTGTAGCTAAAATAGAAAAACGATTTTCTTGTACTAATAATGATATTTTGATGGTTATGGACATTTTTAACTCCAACAGTAATCATTTTTTAAATTCAAATTCTATTTATCTTGAAAAATTTCTTAACCATTATAGGCATTTTAAAATTAATTCTATATATTTATCTTCTGAATTTTCTTCCATCCAAACACTACTCAAAGAAAAAAAGAAATTAATCCTGATAATATAACACTGACAGAAATGCTATCTAAACTAGCATCTGCTTTTGTAGAAACCTTAAACATTTTAACGATTATTTTAACATTGCCTGTTAGTACTGCTTCTAATGAACGCTTTTTTTCTACATTGAAAAGAGTGAAAAATTATTTGCGCTTAACTATGAGAGATAAAAGGTTAAGTGATTTAATGGTAATTGCAACTGAAAAGGAAGAAGCTGATACATTAGATCTTAATGAAGTAGTAGATAGTTTTGCTAAATTAAAATCTGGAAGATTTCCTTTATTGTAAATTGTAATTTATTTTATTATATTTAAATATACATTACTTAATTATTATATTATTTGGTTTATACACATTTTTATATCATAATCTATTAGGTAATTTAGTTTTTTTTTAGAGCATTAATTAATCAGATGAACAGTTTTAATCAGTTATATTATCTAATTGATTATTGAAAAATTAGCTGTGGTGATCCATATACCTAATATTGTGTTATTTTTTATTGTTATTTGTTTTTTACTATAATTTCTATAAAATGATCTACATTTACATAAAAAGTGTATTGAAAAAAATTCATGGGATGACTCGACCATACGAATGACTGGTATTACTTAAGATTTTCAATATTGGTTTTGCATCCCATGAAAAAATGTGAAATGACGCCCCTGGTCACAACCTCTCCATACCGAATCCAACCTACGGCAACTGGACTCCTTATGACGAGCAATAATCAATGACATTGATTCAATGTGTTATATTATTTTGGTTCGAATATTTTGAGTAGGTAATTAATTTGTGTCACCTAAAACTTCTACAGCATAACCCAGAAACAGCTGCAATTCAGGTAAGATAAAATATAAAATATATTATTAATGACTGAATTAAATTATATTATAATATGAACGTACCACATACACTTATATTGTACAGTGTACTTGATCAAATTCTCGAATACACGACCTCGAGAGCCCTCCGAACACCTGGAGTAAGATTAAGATAACAGCGTAATTCCATCCAATATTTACATCTGGTATTATTCTCCGGCATTTATAAGTGAATAAGACTATAAGAGAATCATACAGACTCTATTAAAGTTAAAATCAGATTTTAATATGATTATAGGCAGGAGCCTCATTTATATTTATTCTATTTTTGCCTTATTACAGTTCGACCCATGGCTATAAATTAGTCCTGTTACCTGCCGAGTGAACACTGTACTGTACTACTGTGAATTACCATGAGCTCCATTTTCCCTCCCTGACATGCCCCTGCAGACTGTTCGAGAGGTGGCGTAACCCCCTCCTCTAGCAGTCTAGCGTCCAGCGCTAAGCTGCCCCAGAAAGTACCCGCCGTGCTCAAACTTTTATTTGTCTTTTAATGGCGACCGAGTTTGACGCAACGTCATGTCCGCTCGTTGCCACCATGAGCTGAGTGACAGCAGAAACCACATGCATGAACGACTCATAGTATTATTCTGTCGAGTTATCAGTTTCCGCACCAGAGCCATCGTTCTGCACAATAATAAGTGTCTTAAGCAGAGCTCGATTTGTTGATCGAGAAAACTGTGGCCGTTCCCAGCTTTGGCAGTACCTACGACTACGAACTCGGAATCTTTGAAACAGCTCAAGGTTGTACTCCTGTGCATATTTTATTGTATATTAATCCGTCAATGGTTACTTAATTTGTATTGCCATATGCTATCAGTATTTGACCTTTATATATATTAGATATTTTTTTGGATTTAGGCTTCAACTACTAAGGTCGTTAACCTGGTACTGGGGGGGGGGGGGGGGCGGCTGGTTGGAACACGTTCTGTAAGTGTGGCAAGGATTTGTTGATAAACCCGGGTGGTCACCCATCCGAGTTCTAGCAACGGCGGACGGTACGTACGCCCAGAGCGTTGCCGCAGATTGAAAGTACGACAGCGCCTCACCAAGACACTATAATTATTATTTTGTGTTTAGTTGTTTGGACGCCATTAATTATCATTAATCGTATATTCGTATTATACCGTATCAAAGTGAGTAAATTACGTTTTACATTTATATGCTCCGGGTAACCTTCCGTCCACAACAAAAACGAGTCGGTGCAGCTAACCACGAATTGAAAAGTAGAAGCAATGCGGCGCACAAATAATTCACCGGGGAATAGAGAATACGACAGAATTATACCTATAATATGCTAGTTTTTTAATTTTTTTTTTTAAAGTTGACAACCCTATAAGGAACCTTAAATACAATTTTCAAATCTAAGATTTAAAAAAATGTTTATGTATTTCTAACTATTTAAGCATTCTAACACATAATAATTTTTCAAATTTTCACGATTTTGTCAAAATTCTAACTTTAGATGCTCATTAAACACCAATAACAACTTAGAGACAATTTCATCATGTATGGAAAATTATTATATAAACATTTGGTACAAAAATTATGTAACTACATTATTTTTTTTGAAATAAATAAAAATAAACATAATAGATTTTGTCAAAAATTATAGTTTTATCTTAAAATTTTTTTTTTCTTTGTTTATCTTATATCTACAATAATATTTAAATAATGTAGGTACAAGGTACTTATGGACTATCTGCTTTTTGAATTGTTGATAATCCTATTTATTTATTTTTTCACAATTCTACCTTTATAGTTTTGCCATAAAATTATGAAGACTATAATATAGAGCATAGACTATAGAATTAGAATATATCTCTAATCTTCAATCATAAAATAAAAAATTAGGGATTATAGCTGTGGAGACAATTTAGGGTCAATAATAATTTCAAATGTTCGCTAATTCACTTGTTTCCAACAAAAAAAAAAACGTTAAAGTTTCTTTTATCAAAACATTTTCATTAAAAAATACATAGAAGTCACAATAATAAAATCTTAAGGATAAATTAAAGATTTAATAATGGTAATATTTCACCAAATTTGGCTTCAATTTTAATATCCACACAGTCATCAGCCCTAGTTGGTCCTATATTTACCACAGCAACAGGTTTATTAGCAGATTTTGTTTCCAATACTATTCTATAACCTGAATATACAAATAGAGATGAGCCCATGACCAGGAGTGAATCACATTCTTCCACAAAATCATTCACCCTCTGAACTCGTTTTTTTGGAATGTTGTCTCCGAAAAAAACAATGCGTGGAATTAATAAATTTCCTTCACATTTTGGACATTTAGGAACCTTGAATCCGCCAATTTCTTCCTATTGAATAAATAATAGAACTATAAAATTTATATCATAACAATAGGTTATTATAAAGATTTACTATAAATACTTTATAAATTAAAATAGTAACATAAGATAATTTTACCCTATAAGTAAGCAAATGTTTTTAAGGTTTGTTACAGATTGAGTTTTTGTGTACAAACTACAAAGTATCCATTATTTTCTATAATTTAAATACCTAATGAAATTATAAACTTTGTAAGAAATCTAAATGTAATTTGTTAAGTTGATTTAGTCATTATTTTATTATTGTTAATATTATAGGCTATAGAATCGAGATATCCTGTTAATCTGCTACATTAAACGCCTGTCAAGTTATATTTACTTTGAAAAGAAAATTTTTTAAACAGCTTGAACTAATAATATGTTAATAAAACTATGCCATGGCAAATAATGTTAAATAATTTATTTATATTTCATACATCACAAGTGTATTATATTTTTAAAAATTATACTACACATATAATGTATAATTATTATTATAATCAAAATGAAAAATTGCATGTAAATGGTAAGTGAATTAGTAAGTGAAAATAAATAAAAATAGAATGTTTAAAAATGTTTTTCCTTACTGGAGTGAGTTCAACATCACCATCAGGCCTGACACTGTACAACTCTTTAATGGAAACTTGAGGGTTTAAACTTGACAAAACATCTTGAAATTTATGTCTATCGATTGTATAATCACATTCTAAACAATGTATAACATATGAAGTCCCATGCAATTCAAGAACATTTTTGCTTCCTGCTTTTGTATGCAAGTTATCAACATTCTGAGTAATAATATGAATAATTTTATTTTTATCTTCCAAATTCTTTAAAAACGTATGTGCATAATTAGGTGCCATTGATGAAAATCTAGGCCACCCCAAATAATTTCTAGCCCAATAACGTACGCGTACTTCTGGACTTTTAATAAACTGTTGATATATTACCGGGCGATTTTTACTTCTCGCATACAACCCGACATCAGCGGAGCGATAATCTGGTATACCACTTTCAGTTGATATTCCTGCACCTGTGTTAAATGAATATCATTACAACAATTAAATTAACCATTTATGATACACTATACCGGTTAATACAAGTATTTTATTATGTTCTTTAATGAAACGTTCAAGAGTAATTGCATCTGATGTTTGCACAGGCGTGTGTTTTGGTACAAAATTAGAGTTGAATCTAAAAATTAAACTTTTACTTGAATTTAGAATTACTTCACATGTCTTAAAAATCATTATATTAAAATTTAAGGTATTGGTAACAATAAGTTTAGATTTTAAGTTTTCACTTTTGATTTTTGAAAGCAGCGTTTTAATTTTACGACCTTCAATTTGGTAACGAAATAATAACAAAATAAATCTTACTACAAATTACAATATTAATTAGACCGTAGTAATGGTAAAGTAAACCAAACCTATGAAAGTATGAACTTTACCAAGTGTAGAATTATCACAGTCATTCACAGAACAGTTTATCTATATACTACATTCTGTGATAATATTATATTATTATGTTCAAAGCACAGAATAAGTTAGAGATGGGTGATTCTTGAAAGCATAGATAATAATAATGTAAGAACTGTACTTATATTATTATCTATACTTGAAAATGAATCGATCTATATCGGAATGAAAAAAGTTGATTTTTCGATTCCGTCACGACGGGTTACAATAATATGAATTATGATGTTCCACTTTCAGTTCCATACCGAGAAAAGATGCCCAATGTCCATACAGCGCACAAAATTTTCCAATAATGGAAAAAAATAATTTGCCTCCGGTCTGACCAATATAAAATTACAAAAATAAGGGAAAATGGGCTAAAATCGAACAAAAACTAAATCGATTCAATGTGAAATCGCCTGAGCAGAAACGATTTTAAGATCGATAAATCTATTTAAATCGCCCGTCATTAGAATAACTGTTATTATTAATTATTCTGTGATCAAATGTGTTCATATTTCATTGATAGATTTCTATCGTTATACCTCCATTACAACTATTCATTATTTATTTGTTTTCTGTGTGACGGTCCAAAAAGGCGGAATTTTTATTTTGTCTTTAAACAAATCCATTTTCTACAGACTATTCGAATGTTGGCTAAACTAAAACTTCGTGCAGTACGTAACGTACTTGACCAAGCCTTGATACAAAATTCTTTATTTTTTTTTACAATCGGGGCTCGGGGGCATCCGCATATAGATAATAAATAATAATATAGCTAAGCATAATGTAGCTAATAGGCATTCAGCTGATGTCTGATACAGAATACAGATGTTATTTTTTTTTACTTTGTTTACTAAGTTTGTTATCATTTAATCAACTTCACAACCTCAGTATTCAATATTTCGTCATTCATGAATAACATTTTTAATGATTTTAGATTTACTTTTACAATTCATTATTTTTAGTTTTATTCACTCCTAGAATATTCATATTCTTGTTGTCTTAACTTCATATATATATATATATTTATTTACATTATTTGAAATCTTTAAATCTTTATATTTTACACTCGAATGTCTCAGTAAATCATGTTTAATAGTTCAACAGCTGTAAGTTCAGTAATGGGGCTAATGTCTCATTTAACTGCTTCTGATCTTAAAGAAATACTAAATGACGATAGCAAGTTTGAAATTTATGCTAAAGAACTAAAACCAGTAAGTAATTACGATTGAGAATAAGCATTTGAAGTTGATTAATATTTTAAAAACAATACATTTTAGAACAAAGAAATAGATACTGAAAAAGAAATGTTAATAGCAAGTAATCAATCTTTGGCTGAATTTAATCTTACTAAAGAACCAGAGTTGGTTAGCGGTAAAGAAAGATTATGTGAAATGTATGATGAAGCAGAAAAACTATATAAAAGTGTTACAGAAAAAGTTAATACTTTAAGTAAGTATAATAATTTGAGCTTTAAGAGTTCTATCATAAATCAAGAGTACTTACTATCAATTTTTTTTTGTAAAAGCAAAACTAGGGAAAAACCAACCCCATTGCATATACCTAAGTATGAAACAATTTTTCGAGGGTTTTATGTCTATTTATAATCTAATACATTTTCTGTTTTTAAATATTATGTTAGTATGCGCTCAAATAGAATATATGTTGTTCCAGCCCAGTAAAAAAATTAATTGGTGGACATTAAGCTACCCAAATGTTAGATGAACATTTAGTTTCTACTAGAGTTATTTGCTTAGAGTTTAGCATAGATGGGCAACACACAGTTACAAGAGGACAAATTTTCAGAAAGTTAAAATCTAGCGGGCCAGAGCATAGAAAGCAAATAAACAGTTCATTAAAAATATTCATTTTAAGTAGCATTTATTTTGTTTATAATGTAATTTGAAAATTTAGCACAGGCCAGATAAATGAGCCTCGCAAGACGCCAGTTGCCCACCCCTGAGCTATAGGTCCCCGGTTTCATTATAAAACGTTTATATAGTCCCTCAGTATTCTCTTTATTTTTTTAAATTTCTTAATGCCAATCAATATTAAATAATAAGAAAATAATGTTAAGTATCACTTCAATATTAGTACACTATTTCTATATCAAGTTAGCCGTTAGATAATTATATAACAACTAATTTATTTTAAAACAATAATAATACTATAATAGTTAAGAGTTAAATAACTTGCATCAAATTTAACAAATTCAATTAATTTTTTTACGTTCCTTACAATTCTTTTTTTTAATAATTTTAAATGTAATCATCATTATTATATTATAATTCTGTACACTATCATTTTATTTTATATTCAAAGAATTAATTTTTTGCTTAGGTTTGTGGCTTGTTTATTATATTAAAAATTAAAAATGCACTATAAATAATATCAAGATTTAACATGGAATGGGTATATGAGAGCTCAACTTTATATTAAATGCCAAAACGGGTTTTTTTTAGGTAAATAAAAAGATATTTAGATTTGTATTAATGTAATTTTTTGTATAATACAAAAGGTAAAAAAATAAAAATATTTACCTAACTTGATTAAGAAATATTATTGAATTCATTTATGAGCTTAATATACCTACTATTAATATATTCTGACAACCAGTAACAAACTTATAGGTCCAAACCAATTTGGATATTAGATAATATTCCATATAGGTTTACTGGGTTTACCTTTATCAATTTCTGCTGTACACAATTAATGCAATACACAATTTTTTGAGTAGACATATGTTAACTAACAACTAACTTTTTAGACTTTATGTTTTATTTAAATTTTATTGATTTTTTTTATAGATAATATAAGAATAGATAGGATTATACATATGCATAATATAATAACACAAAGTAATGCAGTGTAATAATAAATATTAAGTATGTACATATTATCTAAAAACTGCTAAATAAACATTCATTATTATTATTATTAATGGGTGACCAACTGACAAATTTGTCTTTAATCATGTAAATTTATACCATATTTTCCTATTAAAAATGTTTTTTCATGCATATTTTGACGATTTTGCCTGCATGTTATATTTTGATACTTTTTACTTTTTAGTACTTAAAAATCAGTGCTTAAGTGATCAAACCTCTTAGGTAACGTATTGTCAAGAGGCTTTAAACATTAAGAAGACTACATTACTATGATGATAATTTATTTTTTTTTCTTAATGGTATGGAATGAGTAACTTAATTTTAATTTTACCATCAGTGTCACAAACTATAAACACAATTATTATTCATTATGCAGTATAGTTATATAGTTGTATATTAATTTTTATAAAATGTATGGGTATAAAAAAAATTGATTGAAGTAGTGTAAGTACTGTTCAATTAATGGGCAAAATACTGTTGATCTCTGTTACTCATCATTAACTTTGAAGAATCCATATTTCATATAAATGATAGACACACACATTGTAAAGTCACTACAATGGCTTTAATAGCTAAATGTTATGTTATAAAACAGTATTTTATTTTTAGCTTTTATATAGTCTTCTTGTGATTCTATTTTGAACAGGTTTGTAGGAATTTAATTGTTTTTTATTATTTGCGCTAAAGTAAAAGTGAATTTGGAAAAAAAAATTAATTTGGTACTATACTAATTGAACAATATATAATAAATCAAAAATCTAATTCCTACACTATCTAAAAAAGAGAATAAGGAATTAAAATATGTTTTCAAAATTAACACCGGCTTTTGGTACTGGATGAATTTTTCTTCCGTTTTTTGGGGCGTTCATGTTAAACCTTTTTTAATCTTAGCCGTAGTTTGTCTTCAATAACATAAAGCCTCTTTGGGTAACTCACTCACACTAATGATCAGTCACTACACACAGTTACACATTACTCAAGATAAAGAATGTTGCCTAAATATACAAATGGTTTGCATTCAACAGCCATAAATAAATAGTTCCCTATTTGTATTATTATTTTTGTTGAATATCCTTTAATAAGTCATTAAAATTATATTTTTAGAACAACACAAAGGTAGTATGAATCCAGAAACTATATTAGCATTGTTGCAAACTGCTTCTAGTGAGATTGAAGAAGAATCAGATGTAAGTATGAATTACATAAAATAATTATAAAAATTACAAAAATTGAAAATATCTTTTTTTGTTATTTTAGAAATTGGCCGAAAATTTTTTAAGTGGTAGCACTGACTTAGAAGGCTTTTTAGAAGAGTTCCTGAAACGTCGTAAGGATATGCATATGCGTAAAGCTAAAGCAGATAAAATGTCTGAATTGCTAAGTAGGCGTAATAATTCCTTCAGACCACCAATCAATAACATTCAACCAACAACAGCAGGATATCCACAACCTGGATATCCCAATTCATTTTATTTTCAACCTACTTCAATGCCATATCCAAATGTACCAATGAATATGCCTATGCCAGGCAATCAATTTTTAAACAGACAATATTAAATACACAATATATAAATTAATTATTATATTCAAAACAATAATGTTACAATTATTATTTTTTTTATTAAAATATACATTTATAAATTTGAATTATGTATATAGAACAAAATACAATTATTAGAATGTTATTATTATTTTTTAACTTTTGTAAACACCTTTTCTATGATTTACTTCTACCACTTAATTAATCCTGGAATGTATTTGTCGATCAATGTTTGATAATATGGCATCAATTCTTTTATATCTGGTATGACACCTCCTTTAGTATATAAATCAAATTTACTAAAAAAAAAGAAAAAACATTAGTTGTTCACAATAATTGATTCATTTTTTTAATTAGAGAGTTTTAATACAGAGTGGCAATCAATTTCTTGATTACTTACAACTAAAAACTATAAATTAATTTTGCAGAATGATCACATGATCATTACATAATAAACAATGATTTGTTCTCCTTCAAATAAATTTTTCCCACACTTAAAATTTACCAATTTCAGAAGATTAAGTTTATCTAATTTTTTACCGGTTGATGTTCACATGTTTACTAGAGTTGGTATTTATATAAAATAAACATTACCTACCTCATTTTTTTAAAATAAATCTTCAAAACATTAACTATACGTATTTATTACCTTTAGTACAGAATAAGCTATATGAAGTATTTATTCAGTACCTTTAGCATGTTATACAAGAAGGAAAAACAAAAAAATTAAACAAACTTCTTGATGATTGACAGAAACCTATTCAATAGAATATTTAAGATCTCATCCAAATATCCACTTACTTGAATTCTAAGACCCATTTCTTCATTTCCAAATCATCTTCAGAGCATAAAAAATCATAGTCACCACCAGAGTGCCATGGGTAAAATGAATGGAATCTACAGTAGGTATGCAGAAAATATGATGAAATTCGTAAAAGTTAAATAATATATATATAGGTGCCAAAAATAGTTAATGGACATAATTGATAATTACCTACCTAATCATGTTTAGTCCTTCTTTGGGTATTGTAGTTTTGTTGTGTACTAAGACTCTATATAAGTATTCATCATGTCCCCAAGACATCAAGATATTGTCCAATCCACAATTTTTCGAATAAATACCTAATGTGGTGCTGAAAATATGATAGTATTAATTTGGCTCTAGACTACTAGACTCATTTTAATAAATTAAATGGTAAAGTTACTTGTATCTCGGATCATAGGTGTCAGGGTTCTTTTTAAATGTGGTGTCTTTGTAAACTATAGAATCCGCCCATGCACATCCAACAGGAAATGTATCACCAACCACACTCCACTGAGGCTCACCTTTGAAAGCCATCACCTAATAAGTAGGTGCAAAACAAAACAAATAGGCTTTTGTGAACAAATTAACCAAATAAATGTCGATCAATGGATACAAACTATTGCCTAAATAGTAGGTATGCTATTAATATTAGTAGGTACCTAAGTATTATAGTATTATAGTGTATTACCTTAACCTATACCTACATTGGTCATTACTTATTACCATAAAGATTGAAGAATAATTTCATGGTTATGTTATTACTTGTTATTATAAAATAGGCATGTATTGCCTACTTGTTCTCTATTTTGTTTTTATGAACATTCACCTAACTACTGTTATCTGCTTTAGATTTATTTAGAATTAATACTTAAATAGATACTTAATAATTTAAAATGCACCTTTACGGTTTACTTACTTTCCCTAAATCGTGTATCAGACCAACCAGATGAAACCAGTCATGGTGTGGATGAACGGCGCGTATGCGTTCGGCAGTTTGAAATGCGTGAACAATGTTGGGAATATTTACGTCAGGATCGCTTTCGTCTACTAAGTCGTTGAGGGATTCCAATGCTTCCATAATAGTGGCCTCAAATTTATCGAAAGACAACCATTCAGCCATCTTTTCTTCGTTACAAATGTGTAGGAAAATAAAACAATTAAAATTTTTAATGAGCTAAGAGTACTGACAGAAATTTAAAAACTATTTTTTATTTGGTACCTAGGTCAAATGTATTATGTGTATCGAATGGGCATGTATATGAGATTGTTAACTAAATTAATTATTAAAGAAATACTTTTACAAGGTGTAAATGTGTAATAGAAAAACCTGACGAATGAAATAATTTTTGTTCTAATCAATATTTAAAAATAATTTTTTGTGTAATATTTTATAATTTATATAGACAATAGCGCTACAACTACAGTTTTTTAATATCTTATGAAAATCTGATTTTTAGACAAATTGTGATGGTGGTATACATATATATTTAAGTCAAGTTGTTTGATTTTCATATTTCATTAAAATATCATGATATTTTTTAGTTCCTACCTAAATTGATTTAAAACGTGTTAATACATTTTACAAAATATTATTTTTGGGAATTTCCTGACATAAGTATATTTCTTAAATTATATAGGCATTATCCATATTTTTATTTAATATCAATTTTTTTTTTTTATTTGCCATGTCTTCCTATTTCTATTAGGTATACGATAGGTGATAGGTCATAGCCCATAGGTATTAAGTATACTATTAGTTTGACATAGGTATGAATTATGAATATAAATAAATATTTTACCAGGTGCCTAATATAGATATATCTAGATAATATTTTTGGACTTTTTAAATATACCTAAATACCATATTTTCTATTTCTTGAGATTCTTTTTAATACTTAAGTGCCTTATAATAGAGACACTAATTTCTGGTTTTTAAATCAAAACTCTCTTTTTCTGCTGTAAATTATTTAGCGGACAATTTTTCTGAAAAATTTGACGTATCATAATAAAAATATAGAAGAATAGCTTATTTCGAATTACTTAACCGTGTAGGTATTAAGAATAATTATAGATAAATGTGGATTATGAAAATGGGTTTGGGAGGTATGTCGATGCCATTATGATGATTTCAAAATTGTTGTACCCTTTCATATTATTAACCTATCATTTATAATTTGGAAAAATACCTAGTCAAAGTTTAATAAATACTAGATCTAATATTCCATATATTTTTAATTTTTGTAAAACCATCTTTAAGGACTATTATCCGTAGTATAAACATTATTTATGAAACTTCTCGTTCAGATATTGAATAATAAGTAGGTATATCAACATTTTCAAAAAAACTTTTCACTTAATAATTTACAAAAAAAAAAAATGGGTTCTCATTTGAAAAACAGAAGTTTTTATCACCACAGAACACCCCTTAAGCAGTATAAAAATGTATAACATCGTTATGTTTGTTTGAATAACCAATTTTGTCAAATTTTGAACATAAAATTTTTATAAAAATAAAATCTATTTTTAACATCTTAACATTTCTGTTTTCTGTTAGAATATAAAACGTATGCACAACCTTTGCACTACTAAATGGTTATGCCTTAGGCCCATAGCTATAAAAAATAAATCGATCTTGTCAAAAATATTGATTGAGTATCCTTGTTATTTCGTGATTTTGAAAAGTAGTGGGAATATTTTATTTTTACCCTTCGAAAGTACCAACTGGGTCCAATTTACTACCAGAAACCACCCTTAAATTTGAGATTAAATATTTTTACTACTCCCTACTAAAGGCTAATAACTTATTTGGACTTACTTTTTACGTAATCTATTGTTTGGTTCGTATGCATCTCGGTGTATGTGATTCTCACTCTTTCTTTTATAGGATCCTCGTGGTCTATGTCATAATCCCTGTATCGTCCAATAGGTTTGGATGCAAATGCTGCCTCTGGTCTCAACAGCTCTGATACATCTAGCATAGCGATTTTATTTTTTACCTAAAATTTAATTTTTATTGATATTTAATTATATTAGTTTCTAAGTACTATTAATACACATCTCTAACTTATGATATAATATGTTTATGCAACATAACAAATTGTAAATATAAAATTCAAAAAAACGCAATAGGTATGTATAGTCAAGTATAGTAAAAAAAAAAAGAAATACCATTATATTTCAGTTGATGTACAAATGTTGACAATAAATCCAATAGGTTTACTGATCCATAAATGTCTATAGCGTTATACCTAGCTAGTGCAAGTGGCTGATTAGATACCAAGCATCTAACTTATATACCTACCTACCTCCCTGTAATTATTAATTAAACACCATCTAATTGGACTTTGGTATACTTATAACAGTTAGATATAACTAATCAATAATCACGCTTCATTAGCAACGATCGTAGATATAGTACGTACTGGCTACTACCTATATATATAGCCACCAATAGGTAGTAACATAATAATAATATTTTATCGAACCGACGACCAATTAACAATTTATGTCGATATTATTATATTATATGTGCATTTAATTGTACCTACCTACATCAATAAGTAAATCATTATTCGTTAATGAATATAGGTATATAGGTGCACGATACATCTGATATTTCTATTTCAGATGAACTATTTAACCAAAACACTTGTTATTTCAAAAAATATTTTTTATCGTTTTAATTTTTTTTTTAATGACAACATTTAAAGCGAGTGGTACAGTGGTGAGCTGCAAAATGTAGTTCCAAGTTCCACTAGGTAGGTCGTAGTCGTATAGGTACCTATTTGTCCAGGTTAGGTCACTAATAGTCTGCTTCAGAATATGAAACTAAAAGTGCATGTTGCACTCAAAAGGGTAAAAAACTTAAAAATTATAACGACGAAAAATAATGAAAAAACTATTATTTTTTCCAAAAAATGTAGTTTTGTAACGACTTAAATTTAAGTAAAAGAAATATTTTCAAAAACGTTATTGTTTTCTGAAATAATGTTTGATGAGTGTTTTGTGTTAAATGGATCACCCCGTATACAAAATATGCAATAGATGTTGTCTATAATATATTATAATTGATTTAAGCTTTTCGATCTTCCCTATGCATGTTTATAGTTTATAATGCCTAATACTTAATATTATGGCGTAAGTATTTACACATATTTCTAATATATTATCTAATTGATTAGCGAATTTTTATTATTATAAATTTATATAACATATTATAAACATCAACATTTTTTTATCCATTTATATACGTATGCAAAATTATTACAAATGTACCCACATTATTAACTATTATTGAAATATTTATCTATACATTCGTAGTTGCTAATTGCTATTAGTAGTTATATATACTAATATAGACATACTACTTTGATTTCGTTGGTCATTCGTTTTTTTACAATTTTAGATTCTGAGCGGAGTGAATAACGATAAATGTATTGATTTTGCATTAATGTGTTAAAAAAAAAATTACATCTGTATACTTACATGAAAAGTATAGTTGAATAAAATGCATCGATTTTCATACCTGCAGGGGGAGGTTTCTTCTAGAAATGTGGTTCTAGTTGGTACTTTTAAGAGTTTAAAATTCAAAATTTCCAGTGTCAAAATAATCGGGAAAACAAAAAATAAGAATTAAAAAACAGACATTTTATGCAACTTTAGGTAACTAAAAAATTAAGAACAGTAAAAAATTTTAATTTTTAGCAAATGTTTATTTTGTCATTTTTTATGCACTACAATTTTAATAAAACTTATAAATTATATTTTCAATAACTTGTATCTAACATACATTTAATATTAACCTATAGTTAATACGTCAAATAGCATAAAAGTTACTTCAGGTCCACAAGGTGTAATTTTTCTATGCAGAATCCTCTTATTTACTGACTACGCAAAACTTTTTAAGAACATAATCAATAATCATTAATCACTATGGATGACTAATGACAGCATAGTATTACAAAAGGCCTTATTTAAGTTTGTTAACTGGTGTGAAACGGTTAGTTTTCCTTAGACTTATAGATAAATACAATACTATACATTCTTCAGAACGCGTGATACAATTGTTTATGATTATATATAGACCTAATCTATAACCAAACCTTGCGTCGAGTAAATCAAGTAGATGATTTAGGATTCAGATCAGTGCCATCGTCATCATCCAATAATCACATCGAACAAATTACATGCAAAGCTTTACGTTTTTCGGGCTTCGTTCGCATAATGCATTACATTTATAACATAGAACATTGATTGCAAATCCATGGCAAGCGAAAATGTTTACTATTATAATATTATATAATATTTAATATTATAGGACCTTTTTTTTTGTCGTTTTAACCGATGACGCCGCGGAAACTGCTTTCGCATTGCTTCCGCGGCGCCGCCATCATTTATTAATAATATCAAATTTTAATACCTGGGGGGTGGACGGGACAGCTCCCCGACTTACCCCTTTCATATATTTCAAAAAATATTATAGGACCTATAATAACCTAAACTAACCTTTTTATACTAATACATTAATTATACAATCATATTATAGTATAACAAAATATAATATTTTTTTCATGGCATACTCTAAAAAAAAAAGGTTATTACTAATTTTGGGCACGCAGGGTTCAAAAGGTGTACCATCCCTGGTATAGGTCTTATAAATACAAATTGTATTTTAATGAGCTCTTATTAAGAATTCCAAGATATCTCACAATTTTTAATATTAATATAAAAGTGAACTAGCAGTTTCTAATGGCAAAACAAATTGTTAACTAGCGTAGTAGCATGGAAATATTTATTATTAGTACTTCAAACAGTTTAAACTCGCACAATGAATATAAATAATAATTTAAAGCAGTAATTATAATTTATTAATAACTCGATAAGTGAACAAAGAAAATATTATACTTATTGCATTCATCAGACTTCACAAAAAAAACCGTAAAGTGTATTGTACGGCCTGCAGTATAAATATAAGTTCCGAATGTGGCCCTCAAGTTGAAAAAAGTTGGGCAAGCCTAGTGTACTACTGGAACCTTAAAATATGCTGTTTATGCATTATGCGTTCATAATTTATTTTTTCTTACCCTAAAAAATGTTAAACCTGGTGTTATTTATTCTATCTATTCTATAACAATTTAAAGTGGCCAAATCCATTAATCAAAATAAACCTAAAGTGATTAGCTTTGAATTATTTGTAGATGCATATATCATATACGTAGTTACAGGATGAACTGTGTCAACTCTCCCGAGTGTTAATAACTTCGTTAGTACATCAAAATAGTATATACTTTATTATGAAAATAAGTACTTAGGTGTTAAGTCTATATAATTGCAATACGAGAATTGCTATGTATTATACATATAATTTTGCAATTATTACATAAAATTAAATAAGTCAACAAACAGTAAAGCACTAGTACATTATGTAAACAAAATTGAGCAAACTGTTATAAATCAGGTCCAAAAATATCAATATACTATGAAGTACCTGTACGGCTATGCACTTACTGACGGTGATCACAATATATTATTTTAATACATGCCTACATATTATAGTTATGGCTATAATATCAAACACCAAGACCAACTATGGTTCATGTCGAGAATCTCGACAAAATATTTACAAAATATGAGCACATTAAATCTTGTTTTCATTCAAAACTTTTTCAAATTTATTGAAATACTTCTACCGCATTTAAACAGCTGCATTTGATCTACATTTTAATGAAATATATTAGGCATTATAGAATAGATTATTAGAATCTTCGCATTTTAATTGTTTTACGTAACATATTCACCAGTGGATTGAATAAACATGCGTGTTATGTTTATTACTAATTTTTAATTTTTTTTAAATAACAATATGAAATACATTTTTACACAATTAAATACTGAATACATACAATAACCTGATACATCATAATTTATATAAAATGTACTGGCAAGAACGGTTGGCGGTATAACAAAACAAAAATCGCGAGGAGAGCCAACTAACGTTGCCGACGGAAAGCGACGGACGTAAGTACAAAACCAAAAAAAAAAATGGGGCAAAGTCAATGGGTCCGCTAAGTCAAACGAGCGGGCGCGTTTTGCACAACTCGGACCGCATATAACACATCTACACAGTACACAAATATCGTGGACACTAGAGGAGACCGCATATTATTATATTTTATATTGTCGAGTTGTCAACTCAAAATGCATGTAAACGAATTATTAATGAACCATACATTCAGATGTAAGACAATCGTCATTTTAAATACATATATATAATGTGTTTGGAAATTAATTAGAAGCCATATACCTATTTTGTTTCCAATGTTCAACAATATTATAATATTATATTTCGTTGTCATGGATGTGTATATTTATCTGAATGTTTATTCATACATCTTATAACAAATTTTGTTTCAGTCTACTACGAGGCATTACTCAAACAATTTTTTGTCTCATAAATTATTTAAATAATTTAACTCAATTATAATATCTTGAAATTCAATTTCTGAATTTTTAAACAAAACCATGGAAAGTTTTACAGAAGCAGACCATATTACAACGCCAGAACAATTGGATGTTCTGGCTGTTGGAAGTTTGCAGCAATGCGAGCATAGCACCCGCCATAGCGAATGCAGTAATTTGTCGGAAGACAAAGAACACAGGGTGGACGACCCTACACTGGCCACGAGGCCTACAATTGTGTGTGCAATCAGCAAGCTCAGTGGCCAACAACCAACGACGACGTTGACTTCGGCAGATTTCAAAGTGTTGGACGAGGTGACCGAGGACTTACTGAAGGCCGCCGTTCAGAGGTCATTATTGAATTCACCACCCCTCTCTCTGGGTCCGAGTGACGAGCGGTCGTCGTCTGTTTCACTCGGTGATAGCAGTATTGCATCACCACAATAAACGAAGGCACCGAGGATTTTTGTACCGAGCGTCTTGGACAAGTTGCTGGAGTTTGACGAAGTAATCCGAAACGCTAACACAAAGCACGGTAAGCACCTTCCGCGGTGTTTCAGCAGTGCGCCGGAAGTTGAACACTTGCCACCGATGGCACGGCATTCTGAAGACGGTGATTGTGTGGCACCTAGTCTTTTGGCCCATAAAGTGCGTCGAACAACAACGGCGAACAACCAGCTGCCGTCGGACATAGATTGTGAGCCGGACGTCATAGAGGCCAAGGGCGTGATTCAGTCAGAAGAAATTGAGGAGGCAGCTCAAAGCACGGCTATAGACGTGGCAAAAAATTACGGTGATTGTTTGGCACCTGGTCTTTTGGCCAATCGCGAGCGACAAACAACAACGGCGAACAACCAGCTGCCGTCGGACATAGATTGTGAGCCGGACGTCCTAGAGGTCAAGAACGTGATTCAATCAGAAGAAATTGAGAAAACAGTTCAAAGCTCGGCTATAGACGTAGCAAAAAGTGACGGTGACGAGTTCGAACCTCCAGTGACCTGCACGCCCACGGCAAAGTCAGCAGCAACAGCAGCAGCAAAATCGATGCAAGGTCGCCGCCGTAGGCCGTCCATTAGGTCAGCACTGGGAAGCCGACTCCTCAAAGTCGGCAGATTGTTGGCCTGCTGTTGTTGTCGTCCGAATAATAATGATTAGAGTGGTACCCTGGTACCGCGATGTGGTGAGACGCCGTTAAACGATTGAGAGATGCATTGATCCAGGATGTTTTTTGGGCACCGTCTTGCCACCATTTGCTCACGTAACTGCGGGCATCGAACAGTCGCGAAGTTCGACCAAGTCCACTCCAGCCCTCTACAATCCCGTGTGACCCTCGATAGCCGCCTTAAGTCACATCCGGTCATCCGGTTTTTCGAGCACCCTGTGCCTCGTTGCATTTTTTTTTACATTTTTCTTTTAGTTTCGTACCGAAGCCCGTCATCGTTTTCCGCCGGCAACCTTTTAGTTGGCCCTCGCGATTTTCGTTTATTTTTTGTTTTCCCGCTAACCATTCCTGCGGGTAACTATATACATCAAGATGTATTTAATATATATATATATATAATATAATTTTTTTAAATATTTTTTTGTATATTATATCATACATATATTACCGCATGTATTCAGTTTTTCTTTGTGTAAAAATATGTTTCATTCTGTTAATTTGAAAAATAAAAATTTGTTATTTACAGAACACTTGTTTACTCAATTGACTGGTGTATGTATTATATAAAATAATTAAAATACGACGATTCTAATAATCTATTGTATAATACCTAAAATGTTTAATTGAAATACGATAGCAGAATTGTAGTAAATTTTAAAAAATAAGGAGAATGAAAACAAAATTTAATGGGCTCATATTTTGTTGATATTTCATTATAGTTAGTTTTGATAAGAGTGTTAATTAATAAGCGTTTGATATGGTAGTCATAACTATAGGTATATATCAGTAATGGCAAATCCATGGCACGCGTGCCCGAGGTGGCACGCAAAAAGATTTTGTGGGAACGCGAAAATGTTTACATATAAGACCTTTTTTTCCGTTCAAAATCGACGACGCGGCGGGAACTGCTTTTGCATTGCTTCCGCGAATATTATAGGACCTATAACAACCTAAACTAACCTTTTCATACTAATACATTATTTATACAACCAAATTATAGTATAACAAAATATAATATTTTTAATATTTTTTTCATGGCACGCTCTAAAAAAAAATAAAGGTTATTACTTATGTTGGGCACGCAGTGTTCAAAAGATTTGCCATCCCTGACATAGAATATAAATCAACTATACATAAATACATAATATTTTTTAAATTAAGTGTACAATTAGAAATTAAAAAAATTTAAGTAGGGTCCGAGTTGGCATGGGACATAAAAGGTCTTAAATGTTCATTACTTATTAGTTATTGCTTGTGTAGTTGTTGGAACTAAAGAATAAGTGGAAGGTAGAAGTAGAGGGAGAGGATCGTTGAGGAACTTTAAATGTAATTAGGGTAATTAAATTTGGAGAATCAATAACACTAAACACCAGTTAGGTCTTTTAAAAATTTGTTACCTACCAAAATAACGTCTGAGCTCAGCTAATGGGCTGAAATAAGTACCTACCTCAGTCAATATAATCTACAATAGGTAGTCTATAACAATAACGCTATAAAAAAAAAATAAGTAGGTATAGTTTATTATAGTTTATGCTTTATTGAATCTTATATTGACGTCAATCTTTTAGGTAAAACGTGAACTGACATGTGACGTCATGTCTTAGTTATATCACAATAGATAAAGGCTTCATCTATTCTGAGGTTATATTGTCTTTTTGAGATTCTGAGTGTAATATTTATATTCGTTTCACAATGAGGAATAATAATAACTATAAAAAATGTTTTTATGTACAAGATATAGTAGATAAGTAGGTACATTAATGATTAATTGTGTATATAGGTAGGTATTACTATAATATAGATACTACTGTTCTAGAATTTATTATGAAATCATATGTAGTCATGTAGACCTGCTTTGACCTATACCTAATCGAAAGTTTACCAATTGCGCTCGGTACCTATACTTATTTTCTGGGTCGATAGCCTAATAAATTGCGTTCTTCATTCAGTAACACAAACAACAATTTTTTTATTGTAGTATAATGAACATGAACATTAATAATACATTTATAATCTAATAAATATAAGCAAATATATAATTACAATTAAATAAATCACTAGTCTAATATTATTTTATATTACAGTCTATTTTTAGTGCATAACTAAAAATTATTCATAATAGATAGGTAGGTAGGTATATAAATAAATATTTTTTTTTTTAGATTGAATAAAAACGATTTTTTAGTCAATTATTTTTTCAATTTTCATGCATTGAAAGTAAAAATAGTTAGTGCATTAATATTTAATAATATATATAAATAGTAAACATAAACTTACCTACCTAAAGGCTAAAGTATATGCAGGCATGCAACGCAATCGTAAAATACAAATTTTGTTTTTGGCGCAACTGGTCCATGGTGCCCACCTTATCGGCTTAGCTCGGTACCCATCTACGCTATTTAAATGTTACCGGGCACAGAGTCCTATCGAAGCCAAGTACCAAGTATCTTGGAGTCCAAACAGACTCAAAAATGAACTTTATCGACCACGGCGTCAACCCCGTCGCGGAACATGTCACAACGGCTGTCAGGACTCGGGAGTATCTCCAGAATAATGCCAAACATCGGAGGTCCAAAAGAATTCCGTAGACGCCTCATAGGCAGTGTTATAAACTCCAGATTGTACTAAACACATCTCAAATTTGGGCCGGGAATACTGAATATGCAACAGAGACAATTAACGCCCGGGCACTATACAAGATGAAATCGGTGCAGAGTCGAACCGCATTCAGAGTGGCATGCACGTATCGGACGGTCTCGCCGGCGGTGGTTGAGGCCAATCCACCTCTACACTAATTGTTTGCAAGGGAAACTGGGAAAGGCAAGTACGGTCAAGAGGCATAAGCAAGAAAGAGTCGAAGAATGCTTTACTGCAGCGATGGCAAGACGAGAGGGATAGGTACAGCAGCAACTGGCTGCAGGTGGACGTATGCATGGTAATTAGAGATTTTCGCAGATGGGTTGGCCTCAAACAGGTCAGTCATACATTATTATTCTTAGTTGCCTATTTAATTAGTCTTATTATTACGGTCATCATATTATGTCACCTAAGTCCTTACAGACCACGGCAGTTTAGGGCATTATATGAAGAAATTCCACATAAAGAGGGAACCAGAGGATTTGGGGTCGAATGACGAAATTCTTTACTCAAGTGACGAGAAAGGGTGCTGATCTTGGAAAATGGTGGATCGGGAGGTTCAATCAGCTATGGACGAGGCACGAGACATGTGAAGGCAACGATGAAGATCATCACAGGCGAATATGAGCAGTAAAGTTTGGTAGGCATAAAATGTGACATGCGTACCGGGCGAGTTTGCGTGAATGTATAAAATGTGTGTAAAATGAACTTACAATGTAATTAATTGTATAGTAATAAACGGCACGCCGGAACGGAGAGAAGTTATTACTATTGCCAAGGCTAGCACCCCTCTGTTCTGTGAATCGTGGCGACCAGTTTGAGGGCGCTTGCTTCTTCATCACAAAAAAAAGATAGGTATCTAACCTAACCTATCTAAGTACCACTGTACCAACTACCCGGTATCCAGTATAATATAAATGATATAAGTACTAGGTAGTACTGCAGGTAGTAGGTAGGTAATATAGATTTGACAATTATTATTCATTAATTATTACCAATTAACAGTCGTGCAGTGTACACGTACCTAACTTCCTTGAATGTTTTCTACATTTTGCAGAATATGTCATTGACTAAACTTAATAGTATGTAAAATATAGATTGTAAAAAAATTTATTTAACAAAATATAAACAAACTGGCACTTTTTATCAAATAATTAGATAAATTTGTTGTTCAATTAATGGTCTAATTAAATCTATAAGTACAAAATTGAAGAAAATTAGTTAGGTTAAAATTAATCCTTCAGATATCTAAATCTCATTTGAAGTGACTTTTTCATACTGTAATTCATGAAAATTCTAGCTATGCTATGTATGAATTAATAATTATGCATGTAATTATACATGTATGTATGAGCAATAATTAATTTATATTGGATTTTACAATTAGAATATGTCTTGCATATAATGAAAGGTTTCTGAAATGAAAATATCCAACTACCTATAGGTACTAGGTTCCCAACCTTTTTTATTCCACGCACCCCTTGTAAATTTTCAAAAATCTCATGCCCCTCCCCTTTAAATAAGTATTAAAAAAATCTTTTTTTTGTTTTATTGAAACAAAATAACTATTTATTAATAACTAATGACATATATTTTTTCATCATTTTAAACTTTGTCTTACATTCTCAGTTCTAAGCTAAGAAATTAAAAAATTTAATAAAATTTAAACCACAAATTTTTGTGATTCTGATTTATTTTGTCATTATTTTAACTTCCTAAAATTTTAAATAATACAAAGTATAAATATTGTCATGAAAGATATTAACACCATAGTTTTGTGCAAATATATTATTTATTTTACTTATTGGTATACAAATGAATAATGAGTAAATATAATTGATACAAATATTTTTTCTTCATTAATAGAATTGACACATATTATGATTTCGTATAATTTTATGATACTTCAATGACTCTAATACTTTATAGATAACATGAAAAATTGGTAATATAAACATAAAGAGAGAAATAAGATTCATTATAAATTTATAAATAAGGTATGGTATTATAAGTAATTATAATAGGAGTCTTATGCTACAAATATATCTAATGTTATAGGAATGTTGCTCGATGTTGTTGATTATTTTTTCAAAATACGATTTATCTCTTTGTTTTGACGTTCCATATTTATGTCAGCTTTATCAGCTTTACCAAGAATGTTTTCAACTAAATCATTTTGAGAATCAATTTCTCCACCAAGCCCCAATGCTAAACCTTTAAATACAGTTATACATATTAAAATTATATAAGAGAATATATATTTATTTACTCAAAATTATAAAATTTATAAATAGTTTTTATTAAAAATATAAAATTTAAGCATAAATTAGCTAATATTATTTATATATTTATTTTTTAAACCTTTTAATCGAGTTACTGATCCAAGAATTTCATCCAGATTGTTATCCAAACTAGATTGTACATCAGTTGGTGTAGTTGATTCATTATCTACTAAGCCTCTTATTCTTAAACCTAGTTACAAATTTCAAAATTATATTACCATATAACTTGTAAAAATGTATTGATTGTATATTATTACCAGGATGTTGATCCATAGAGTTAATATTAGAATTTGCTTGAGTTAAGGTTTCACTCAATGTACTTCTACGCACTTCATTTGTTAATGGAGACGACCCTGTTGGCTCAATTTCAGTTGATGCACTACGTGGTGGTAAATTTGATTTACCACTGAGCATATTTTTAAAACTTCCAAAAATACTCTATAAAATACAATTAGTTAAAAATAGTTAAAAATATTATTTCATTTTAAAAATTTTATTTTTTAAATGATAATACCTAACTAAACAGTTGAATAATGTAAAAAAAAATATTTTAAAATCCACATATACTTTTTCAGTTAATTAGTCTGTACTATTAAAATAATGAGTGTATAGTATAGGCAAAGATAATTGAAAGTTTTACCATTAATCGTTAAGAGAATGTCAACATACTAATCATGGCAAATTTGCATTCAGCAGATCCAATCTTGTGTTGTTAATTTTAATATAAGAAAGGTGAATTGACCTATCCATTATCAAACTTGAAGTTATCAAAATAATTTTTAATTGTAAAATGACTTTTTTTTCAATTTTTACACAAATGAATTTCTATATTACAGTTTGAAAATGCTCATATATCACAGAAAAATAGAAATATTGTAAAATAAGCAGCCATTCAAACACAGATTATGTTCCTAACTTTGGGTTTGGTAATAGAATTCACTCTAATATTAAAGCTAACACAAGATTGGTTACATTGAGCACAAATTTGAATGTAGGTCTGAGAGAGAAAATAAATAGTGCACTGACAATCTGACATCTTAATCATAAGCCATTATTATTGATTCAAGGTATAAATTGAAATACAATTTATTTTTATTTTACTATAGGTAAAGCTGGCATATTTTTTTAGCATAAATTATAATTTATTTACTTTAATTCCTTGTATATGTTTTTGGCTGACGCGTAAATTAGAATTTATTTCATCAAGTCTTTTATCAGTATTTTGCAGCTGTTCTCTTTGTCTAACCAATTCCTGTAATAGTCAAAATCAAAAATATTACTCCAATTTGTTTAAATTTATTTATTGATAATTATTTACTTCAGCTGTTGCAGTACCAATATTTTCAGACTCTCTGAGTAAGCGCAATGTTCTTTCCGTAGACTGTAAAGTTCTTTGTTCTACATCTCTTGTTGTTTCAACAACTTGCTGCTTTTGTCTATGTGCATTTTCTAATTCTTGATTACCGAAATTGTTGCCTAAAAGGTCATTTCTATAGCCGACATTGGGTCGAACGCGGGACATAAATTCATTGTCATCCACATCGTCATCGTCGTCGAATATCCCTCTCGATGAATTGCTTACATATCGGTTATTTGACATTTTGCACAACCCAATCTTTCTTTAAATGCAAGCAATTTGTTCGGCTAGGTTAATGAAAATATTATACTATTAATAATTAATGCGACAAAAGAAAAAAGTTTAAAAATCACTTTAAAAGTAAAAAGAGTGTCTCAAGGCAAGTAAGTAGTGTAAAATATAATTTATTAATTGCAATATTGCAATTGCAAAATACCATAGGTTTAAGTAATATTATTATGCCATAAAAACGCACCTATGATGACGTATGAATCATTTATTCATTTATCATAGACTATAGTATAGTAAATTAATAGGTATTCTGGTATATTTTGTACATATAGGTAGTATGGTGTTTTTTAAAAAAAATCACTCGGTGATGAATATTGAGTTTCGAACTTCTTTGCGAGTTGTTACTTGTTATCACTGAATCGTAACAATAGTGAAGTTTTTTTTGGCGAATGGTGACTGGTGAGTGAGATACCGAGGTCCGAGGTCATTGTTGTCTATCAATCGTCTATGCCCTATGAGTCGCACACTAACACGTCGATTCTATAAATGTTTATTGTTTAGTAAATACCAAATATTAAAAATAATACCTACAATACACTCATAGACCTCATACAATAGAATCACAACTCACAAGTTGTGCCTGTGATTTATGGTTTCATAACTGCAGTAGTGCAGTACCGACGTACCGTGCTCATGACAAACGGACAAACACTATAGTTTTATAGATTGTCCTGAAATTATAGATTGTACTCGTCAGTCGTCGCTTCTTTTGTTCGACGACTACTATCGCTACTATCGCTACTATCGCTACTATCGGGTAGTGGTCACTGGTCAGTGCCCAGTGGGTACCGCGACACGACTACTGATCTCACCCACGTCCCACAACATCAACAATAACAACGGAGTGCGGATGACGGGACAGCACTTCTGACAAAGTATGAAATATGAATATTAAAAATATTATGATCCAGAATTAAATATTATCATGTCGGAGTCTGGTTCCGTGATATCATTACGTTCCGGGAACGTCGCTGTTAATTTCCAGACACTCAGGGCGTGTGTCGTTGTGTCGTCCACGGCCATACACAAAGCATAAATTTCATTTCACGGCTGTAAACAAAAGAAACGGTAATAATAATAATTACATTAATCATCGTTGTTTCAACGTTTCATACGCCGGACTGTTGTTTCGCGTGATGTCTAGATGATCAGCGAATTGATGTCCGTCTCTCCATAATTATTATTTCTGAATATTGTTTTTCTGTTTAGAGATAATATAAATAGTTTTTCTTGCAACAAGTTTCTCACGTCGTTCCGTTGCTTTTGGTATGCGATACAACAGTGGCCATTACTCGTCTAGTGTAAATCGAATAGCTGCATTATAAATATGCCCGTGGCAATGAACCGGAGACGTGTGAACAATTTCACATACGTCAGCCCTTGTGTCAAGTACATGATATTTTTGCTGAACTTTTTGTTTTGGGTATGTGTTTACCATATTTAATAGTAATTCAAATAACTAGTTGTAAATCCAAGTACAACAATAAAGAAATAACTGTTGTTGTTAATTTAGTTGTTTGGCGGTTTGTTGGTGGCAGCCGGTACATTTGCATTTTACGAAAAATGGAATACTATGGGTTCTATCAAGTTGAACACTTTCTCAGACGTTATACTCAATATATCCCTAGTTCTGATCATAGCCGGACAAATCATATTCATTGTTAGCTTTGCGGGATGTATTGGTGCTCTACGTGAAAATACAACCCTTCTTAAATTTGTGAGTATATTTTACCAATCTGTGTTTCATAGTGTTTAAATTTGGTGTAAATAATCCATCATGACTCCCTCAGTTTACAAGGAAAATTGTTCTTGTGAGGGTTAAAATGTATCATCTGGTACTTATTTATGTAAATAAATAAATATGAAATTGATGGTTTATATTCAACCATTTAATCAGTAATGAAATATTCTTAAAAAAGTATTATGTTAGGTATTTGACTAATCTATAGTATCTATTAGTATACAGTGAAATCTTAGATCATATCCTATGGATAGACCTATGTCCCAATAATTTTAAGCACATACTAGCGACTAATTAGACGAATAAGCACTCATGCTCAAGGAGAAATGTCGCATATTTATCTATTTGAATTGATATATTAATCAAATATAAATTGAATCAGAGATCAACAGCTAAATATGAAACAGTTAGACGCATGTGCACATCGAGCATCTACTTCAGAGACTCGTCGCTTATATATATGCGTCAATTTGTTTACTTTGGTGAGATAGTCTCCATGGTCTATCCATGTGTTCTAAAAGCGAAACCCCTCATAACTTAAGAAGTCTTTGATTAGCAGACAAGTCCAAATTGTGGATTTTTTAAGAATAAACTACAAACAGAACCCTCAGAATAGCTAACAAAATGTTAGCAACCTCGAGTGTCTTGTATTTTGAGGTTTTTCTGTATGTGTTTGAAATTTGGCTAACTAAAACTCTAAACATTTTTGAAAATCTGTTTCCATGGTATTTATATAATATTAATTTACATAATAAATGTGAATTATTTAACATTTTAGATTGTTATTTTATTTAAAAAATGTATAGTTCTATATTGATAGGCAAGTAGTTATTAGCGATGTATTCATTTTTATTAATTTGTTTTATAATTTTATGTTAGTGTTCCAAACAAATAAGTAATATTAAGTGGAATATCATTTAAATGATTTTTAGAATTTTTAGGACAGTGAGTTACTTTTTTTATAACTATTATTTTTTTATTTAATGTAAAAATTAATGTTAAAATAATCTTTAATTTATTAAAATTAGGTTATTATAGATAAATCTAACCAGTCTTACATTTTAATACTCTTCCCTTTAATTTCAGTTACCTTTCAAAAATATTGCTGCTCAGATTGCAAATGTTAGTGTCAGCAATTTAAGTGTTTCACAAACACCGAAATTCAGTACGAAAAATACTGATAAATTAAAGAAGTCGAAACCCAGGAACAATGATAAAATTATTTTTAAGCTACTTGATTGTTATGACGAATTACTTAATATCCAAGCCAAGTCTCCAATATATACTAATAGTTTAAAACCAATGAATGACAGCCAATTTAATTTTTATAAAAAATATGTTATTATTGATAGAGATAAAATACTTAATCTAATGTATAGCACTATAGATCAAGCAAACATTAGTGCTTGGCGGTTGCATAGGCAAACAAGACTCTCAGCCAGTTCAAAAGCTCATCAGATAAATACAAGACGTAATAGAAACGAGGAATTGGCTGAACGGTTTGTAAAAGACAAAAAAATTGTAGGGAAAGGTTTAAAATATGTGGAATATGGAATTGGAATGGAAGATTTTGCTTCTGAAAAGTATTCACTTGTACATAATGTACATGTTATAAAGTGTGGCCTAGTAGTACATCAAAAACAACCTTGGATTTGTGCAAGTCCAGATGGTTTGGTTATTCATAACAATAAAGTAAAAAAATTGTTGGAGATAAAGTGTCCATACACTTGTAAAGATACCTTATTGGTTGATGAAGATAATGGAAAGCTTAGAGTTCCATACTTAAGATATAATGAAGAACAAAATACTATTGATTTAAAGCAAAACCACATCTATTTTACTCAGTGTCAAATTCAGATGTATTGTACTGGGATGGAGGAATGTGATTTATTTGTTTGCACAAAAGCTGACTGCATAACTGTTACTGTTAAGAGAGATGAAATATTTCTTGAAAAATTAGTCAGAAAAATGGAATTTTTTTATTTCAATTACTATCTTCCTGAATTAACTAAAGTTAATTCTTAATTTTTTAACATTACAGCAAAATTTTTTAGATATATTATTATAAAGTCATGCAAATTACTTTTAAGGATTTTAAATTGTATTTTAAAAATTATATTATACGGACATTTATTTACAGTATATATTTTTTTTGTTCAGAGTTACTACTTTATCATCTATTTAACTTCCAATTTTCTGTAATATTGACACTAGTCATAAACTAGGCTTTATGTAATTTCTAAAGAGTGTGAGAAGAAAACTGCATTATCTTATGGTTATTTGGAAGTGGGAGAAGTTATAAGTTAGTTATAATTTTCATTTCAAAATTAAATGCTTCAACTGAATTGTAGGAAATTAATTTGGAGCATAAACTCTTTTTCTTATAAAAGTAGTTATGATGAACAGCATGGCATCCTCCAAACTAACTACTGAATATACAGTGACTAATTCCTTAATATACTATGATACCACTCTTACTAATGTAGTTGCAGCTGGAAGTTATGTTGAATGTTGATGTAATATAAAGTTAACAGCCAGTTGATAAACTTGAGACTTCCTTAATTGATGATCATATGAATTGGATAGATAGAAATTTAGTTTTTTTTTAGTCTGTATCAAATCTTTGAAAACCAATCTGTTTGTTTATGTATATTTTTTTTTTGTAATGAACTCCAAATAGCATTAAACACGTATGAATTCTTATTGTTGTTAAATATTATTGCACATTGAATTAATAAAAATAAAACTAGTGAAACATTATACATTACTTTAGTTTTAGTTAGTTTCTTGTAACTAAGATAGCCAAATTTCAAATTATACAACCAAGCATGAGCCGAGGAAGTATTAGGCGTTTGTTGACTCTCACTTACTTACCGAAATATACTTATTTTTGAAATTAAATTATAAGCATACAACTGCTCTGATAAATATAATCTAATAAGATAATAATTTAATATGAAACATTTTTTTTTCAGTACTCGTTGTGTCTCTTAATATTCTTTCTACTAGAAATGGGAATTGCAATTATTGGGTTTGTATTTCCTCATAACATGCAAGCTACATTGGAAGAGTCATTCACTGATAAAATTATTCACACTTACCGCGATGATCCAGATTTACAAAACCTCATTGATTTTGCCCAGAAAGAAGTAAAAATATCTTAATAGAAATGTCAGATTAATGTTAAAAATTGTTCTAATATAATGTATTTTAGTTTCAATGTTGTGGTCTTAGTTCAGAAGGATATATTGATTGGTCCAAAAATGAATATTTTAACTGTACTTCACCAAGTGTTGAGAAGTGTGGGGTGCCCTATTCATGTTGTATCAACGCAACAGATATTTCGGTACTTGTAACTTTTTTATGTATAACTGTATTCTTAATATTTATGGCAACCTATTATTTTGTAGAAAGGACTTGTAAATGTCATGTGTGGTTATGGTGCTCAAGATAGTTCTGTAAGTATATAATAAATAAATATATGTCGTAAACATTTATAAGACTTACTATGTAATATTTATAAGGTTGCTGAAGCTAGTAAAAGAGTTTGGACTAGTGGATGTATTGAAGTTATCCGTATATGGGCTGAAAGAAATTTATATACAATTGCAGGAGTAGCATTAGGTGTTGCTCTATCTCAGGTAAATACAATTCCAATAATATTTTCAATTGGTAATGTTTTGGTTTTCAGTAGAGCAAGGACAACCAAATCTCAGATCATGTCTTTACTTTTAATTATACTATGTTCGTAATTTATTGTAAATATTTTCTGTTATAGCTTCTTATTATAAATTTAGCCAAAACGTTAGAAGGGCAAATTGACTTACAAAAATCCAGATGGGCTTCTTGAAAAATAATTAAGGTATGAGAAACAAGATAATGTTTCCATAATACTATGATAATATGGTATAAAAATAATATTGTATTAGTTACTGCAACACTTTTTTAAATCTAAATTATTACAGAAGTGGTGTTTTTATAAAAAAAAAAAATTATATTTTAATCATGTCAAATTTTGATTTTATTTTATCAATTTTTAATTAATGCTATTTAAACTATTTTTATGTGTTTTTTATAATTTATATGTTTATAATATTTAATTGTCTGACATTTTTTTTTTTTTTTATATCGCTAAATATATTTTAATTTTTTAACTTAGTCAATTCAAATTTAAGGTTGTAAATAAATAAAAAAATTCCTTAATGAAGTTTGAAATCGCCCTGTGATAATGGGCCCATTTATCTGAAATATGTAATAAACAATTATATAATATTTTGTCCTTTAGTCTGCACTAAAATGTCCATTGTTTTATAATAATTATATTGATTACATTTATCAATATAAAATAAATACATCTTTCATGTATAATTTTATTTAAGATGCTAATTGTAGTTTCTAACTTCACATTTAGTGTTTTATATAATTTATTTTTTGCTCATTCATTATTAGTTTGATTCATGAATTCTATTCAATTCCTATATTATATTGTAATTTGAATTCATTCATAATTCACTACTTACTCATTATCGAGTTTACCATCATTAATAAAAACAAATGTAAAATTATAATTCTATACATTAAATAGGATCAATAGAACTTCACATTACTAAACTAGTGTATACTTCATAATAATACCTACTTCTTTTGTAAAGTAAATTTCACATCTCTTGTGTATTTTATACCAACATCTAACATTATTATTATTTGTTTAATATTGACTACATGAAAATTTATTATTATTTGTTTATTATTTTACAAAATTATATTTTTTACTTAATTATTTGAAATATCTAAAGGAGCACGCAACACAAAACAATGTCCTTTTAAAATTATTATTATGTATTAAACTATTGTAGTCTGAACTATTAGAAACAAAAAAAGTGAAAATCAATTGTAAAACAAATATTATTTTACCGAAAAATTAAAATATTTATAAGAAATTAAACACTTAATTCAAACTCTGATTTGATTATAAGAAGCGATTAACTTTTACATGTGTAAAATAGATCATTAAGCATGACCAAATGACATCACTGGATTTTTAATTATTCATAGTCATAACCACAACGACAACTCATTGATTAATGTGAATCCTACACCATTTTTCTTAGTATTGAATAATTTTCAAACTAAAATAACTTATTTTTTGTGTTAAGTGCTTCTTTAGAATGTAGTTTAAAAAATATGACCTGATGTATTTTTATATGATAATGTAAGTATTTATAGTGCATACGTGTGTATTATAGTGATGTTAATAATGCTAATTAAGTGTGATACATTTTTATTACTTTTTTTTTACTGTTTAGATTACCAAAGATAATATATAAACAATTAAAAATATATTTTTAACACTACCCTTTATTTGTTGATTATTCATAAACAACATTTTATCTACAATTCCAAAAAAAATCATCGCTTTCACGCTTTCTCACGCCCCTATTGTTCCTAAACTCAAATATAATTAAACACTTTTGCCAATCATTTAAGATAGCATTCAATATTTGATCTAATGTTAAGTTATAATGGTTGGACTGTATAAAATGTGCATAATATTATGTATATTAGTGTCCAGTGGTTTTCAATCCGATATAGATACACGCCAGGTTAATAAAATTACACTTTGAATTAAATAATTAAAATATATCAACGTGAGATAAAATGTTCCGATTTGATTAGATGTAAAAAAATGCAAATGAAACGAAGTGCACGAATGAATGCTTGACAACATAGGTACGTAAAAATGTTAAGAAGACGATAAAACTGCATGTTTTCTGTAGGTACATCGTACATGAAGCCAATTTTCTTTTTGCTGCAGCCGAATCAATTGGAGTGAATTCATCTATTATCGGACTTAGTAGTAGAAACATCTGAGTTTGTTTCTTGGTGTATACGATTTTTAAATGTCTATGCAAATGATGAGCATGAGTACTAAACCTCTTCTAAACTTCATTAACAAGTAATAACATATAAATTATATAATATATTAGAGATGTATGGATAATATATATTTTATGGAACCGATGGGCGATGGCTGCAGTTGTCAAGTCCCGCGGCTGGCTCGATCGGTCTAATATCAGTGCCGTCTGGGAGCTCGAGCGTTTCGATACGTATAGTTCCATTACCCTCCGATGATCTCTGCGTGTAGTAACGGTGAATGGTTAAATTGGTTTACATGGATTACCCTCGAAATCCCTCAAAATTCGAGGAGTCAAACAGGGACCCATGGTCCGGCAGTCGTCTTTGGGCCGTCAGTGCACTCATTTTCGAGAAGTTTATGCGCTGCCGACGATTTCCCAGGTCAGTAAGTTTTGATAAACACCCTATCCATGATATGATGAGACGCATATTTCGTAGATTTATAGCCAAATAATATTTGGGCTCAGGTGGAAATCTGCAGAAAGTTCCCAGAAATTTAGGTACCTACCCAAACCGCTATCAATAGTAGTGGTGTCACTAATATCCGGATTCCAATACTATTCGGATAATCCGGATATTCAAATCCAAATAATAAACGGATAAAATCCGAATTATCCGAATAATCCGAATAATCCGGATATTTTAAAACATTTTATTATAAAACCAATAACTTTTGGGTATCGCTCAGAATTAAAAATATTAATAAAAAAACATATTTTTTTAGATACGACCAATTGTTAAAAGCCTTATAGAAAAGCATTTAAAACTCGAAGATACAGACTCAACACTAGCAATGGTGTTTAAAGAAACAGTGTGTAATGAACTACGTCGGAGGTTTAATATTGATTTTGAAGAAGAAAATGGAATTGCAGCAGACATTTATTCGGAAAATAGGAAAGTAAACATAGCACAAATTGCAAGTTTACTAGATCCAAGGTACAAGAATTTACAATTTGAATCATCAGATCGTATACGAGAAATTATTAAACAAAAAATTCGTTCAAAGATACAGTCAATTAGATATATATCTGAAAATGAAAACACCTCAAATACTAATAAAAGTACAGTATTAGATGATTTATTGGGGATAGTTCCACTAGATTCTGTGGATGAATTTTCGAGGTAATTGGCTGAACCACAAATCAATCATAACGATGATCCGTGCTTGTGGTGGAAATCGCGTGAACTTACGTTTCCTTTTTTATCTGTTCTCGCGAAAAATATTCTTTGTATACCGGCTTCTTCGGCATCTTCAGAACGTGTTTTTTCTACTGCTGGATCAATTCTATCCCCAAAGAGAAATAGAATGACTCCCTTTCATTTATCAGCCCTGCTATTATTAAATAAAAATATTTGATTCTAAACTAGACAAATATAAAAACAACTATTTTCATTATTATATAGTGTATCCCGTTTATACTTAAAATTGCATTAAATGTGCCTGTAAGTTAAATTTATTTATTAAAAAAAATATTATTATATTGTGCTGAAATGTGTATAATGTATATCGTATTACTTATTTATTATGTATTTATTACGTATTAATTATTTTTATAGTTGATTTTGCTATGATTATTATTTATTATAAATGTTAAAGTTAAAATTATTGTTATTATTTAAATATTTAATATTTGCTAAGACATGATCTATATTCTATAATATGAAATAAAACATTATTATAACTACTACCAACTGCATCAACCGTCAACATATTTTTGAAACCTTCCTTTATAATAATTAGATTAGATATTTATATAAACATTTAAATTATTCGAATTATTCGGATTATTCGGATTATTCGGTTATTACATTTTGGATTCGGATATCCGGATAATCCGGATATCCAAAAATCCGGATTTTTGACATCACTATTTATTACCATGGAAACCTATTAGGGTCCAAACAGATGACCCGGTTTTGCCCGCAAACCTTATATTACATACTACTAGACAAGCAATGAGCGTACGGAAAGCGTAACAACGTAGAGGGTACTTTTTGACTACAAGGATTACTCGTAAGTACGGGGTAGTAGGGTAGGATATATAGATATATATTTAGATTACTGTATATTGAGGGAGTCCTACATCACTATAAACATATAACTTATAACGCCACCCGTAATGCTGTCGTTATACACTGTTCTTGTCGAGTAGAATAAGGTCTTTGAATTAGACTGTGATAAATAGAAAGCCGGCCACTCAGTTCTCTTAGTTCGCCGGTGCCGGCATATTTACTGCGCCAGGAGGAACACGGTGACCGTCTGTCAAAATCCGATTGCCCGATTGGACCCTGTCAAGTAACCCAAGTCCGTAACGTTTTAAGGCCGTCAAACTGTCAAAGTATAATAGACTATAGTAGGTGATAGCGGGAGTATAAAGTGAGGATTTGACACAGCGTAAGAATCTGTGTGAAGCACAACTGTCGCCTATGAGGCTATGAAGTATTCACTTGAAAAAAAAAAATAATAATAATAATAATTAGTACCTTTAATATTCACTATATAAGGCAAGTCTGAAAGTAAAAATATATAATTGATAATATAAAGATTAAGTATGATAGATTTATATGTATACTATATTGAATAGTAAAATAGACATGGTATTTGGTACCTATTTAATTTATTAGTAGGTATGATTTTAAAATAGGGAAAGGTAATATTTTTTAATTTGCAAAAAATATTTTACAACTTTTGTTCTATTAGTATATACATTTACTTGCTCGTTTTAACTTTCACCGATGTTAAGTCATTTTTTTTCCGCGTATTTGGGAACTAATAAAACTATTTATATGAATTATTTAACTATTCGAGTATACTAAAAAATATTACCAAATACCATTTATACAATTCATTAATACAATTATTAGCAAAAATATTATGATTTATAACTCGCAACTCGCAAGTCATATTCAAGTATTTATTTAAAGTTAAACTTACCACATTTTTTTTCATCACATGTATAATATTCATTTGTAATACGGATGAGATCTGAAAGATAAATTGAGATTTTTATATTATACCAATAATTTAACAATTATTTTCTCTTATAAGGATTTAAAATTAAATACAAAAATAGTGAAAACAAGATGATTTTATAAAAAAATAGTATGTTGTTATGTTAATCATATATGCAGAAATATATAAGTTTGCTTAATATTGTTTTTATATCAATCAATAAAATGTTACGACCAAATTATGCACGAGAAAAATGTTTTAAAAGATTGATATAGTAATATTATAAATTCAAAATTTAGGCCTCGTATATAGTGGTTCCAGATTTTAGATTCTAAATAAAACAAAAAATGAACTGGTTTTAAAATGTATTTATTTTATATTTTCAATTGATTTATTATAAAATGTTTAATTATATAATATACAAACTATTTAATAATTAAATAATATTGTGGAGTTTCTTTTTGTTCCTATAAACTGAGTTACATTTTCTACTTATACGAGTACTTTAATAACTTAAGATTATTTTCTGTAGAAATTAACAGTGGTCGAAATGGCTCAAGATAAGTGGAGGGATGCCTTACAATTCAGATTTAATCCGTGGCTCTAAATACGGGTATAGATAATCTGATTGCGAAACGGCCTATACGAAAAATAAAAAGTTTTCTTATACATAGGTATAAATATAAAAATCATAATAATTATTTCATTTTAAAACACAAGTCTTAGGAGGAATGCGTTATTCTAGACAAAATAAGTAGAGGGATGAAAAATGTGAATACAAAAAAGTAAAGGGATGTCATCCCTCAGTATCCCCCCCCCCACTTCGACCACTGGAAATTAACCAATATATCAAAATTATTGAACAAGGTATTTACAATAAAGACTAATTTAATATGAAACTTATTTTTTTCGTACACTTCAGCTTCACCTTCTTCAAGTAATTATAATTTTAATAGTTATTATTTTTATTTTTAACCCGTGCCATTTTTAACATATGGTATTAGTTGGTTGTTTTTAGTAGGTTTTTAACTGTAGGGGAGGGTATGGTTGGTTGGAACACTTGTAAAAACAACAAAGATTTGTCACTAAGAACCCCGGTCACTCAGATCACGGTTTGTGACTAAAGTAGTTATATATTTATTATTTACATAGTATGCCGACTTTCCTCTCAAGTATAGCATAAAATCACTTAATATTATTTTGATGTCATCGTTTTATATATCAAGAAAATGTTCATAACTAAATATAGACGAAAAAGGTGTTCAAAAAGATTAATATAATAATATTTTTAATTCAAAATTAAAGGCTTCTATGATTTCCAGCTTTTAGATTCTGTATGAAACATTGGTATTTATTTTAGGGTTTCAATATAACTGATTTATTGTTTGCTATAAGAAATAATAGTGCGGTGTTTCTAATTTTTGTTTTTGTATGGACTTGTTTCATTTTTCTTATACTTAACTAAAACTATTAAATTAAATAAAATTTGAAAATTATTGAGCAAAGTAATAGCAATAAACTCCTATTTGATATGAACTTACCACTTTTACCAACAGATTTTAGTTTATGTTCTTTTTTAGAGGAGACTGAAAATAAATTGAATTGATTTTTAATTGTAGTAGTTATACTCGTATATTTACATAATATGCTGATTTTCTTCTGTCTTATGTATTTAATTTCACTTAATATTATTTTGATGTTATTATTTTATCTATGAAGAAAACGTTCACAATCAAAATATACGAAAAATATGTTATACTTAGATAACTTTATATTATTATATTATTTTTTAAGAAATTAAATAAAAGATCACAAGTATGAAGTATTGAACAAGGCATTTACAATAAAACTTGATTTGATATGAAACTTACCATTTGTGTTTTCATTATATATTTTTTTCACTGTTTCGTTTTCTGAAAATAAATGTCATACATTTTAAATTTTTGTTTAGTTGTACTACTACATAATATGTCGATTTTTCTCTTACAGATTTATAAGTAAATAAATAATGAATAAAACTGTTGGAATAAAATGAAAGATGGACAATATATTTTTTTTTATTATTATCAATACTCGGTTTGTGTTTTTGCTCAATATCGGTATTTAAAATACTTCATGAATGACAAATGTTTAAGTGTAGGAATCTATAAGTCTTACAATATGGTGTTTATTAAGTAAATATTAATAACTTTAGATCAGGGTGATTCCGTAGACCTTATACTAATAGACAAAAAGAGATTGCACACTGAGCGTGGAAATATAGAGACCGATTTTCAGCAAGTGAGTGACTCAATGACCATTAGTGCGGGGTGGTACGGTGAGACATATTGATACATATTGCATATAAAGACGATTAAATCTCGTTAAGACTGCCTACATCTCTGAGGGATGTTTGCACGCCTCCGTAATACACAGTTCATGTCTATTATAGAATAAGTTATACGAATAAGTCCTCAGAGATAGTCATAATTATACTACTACATTTATAAATTTAAAATCAATTCTAAATTGTACTTGAGTCTTGTCAAACTAATAATAGTTTTTCAAAGTTATCAATATTTAATAATTATGAAATTAAATGTTAAACAATTTTAGGATGTGCTATCTTGAAGAAAATGTCTGCATCACAGCAGTCAACAAAGCTGGCTTAAAATCGTTTTACTTATAGATATGTAATGATTAATATTCGATTTGAAATGTTTTATTACCAACATACATCATTCAGTGGCAATATTTTTTATGTAGGTACAGAACAATTTCAGGGGAGGGTCCTGACCTCACAAAAACGTGACTGCCCAAAAATTGTTTTAATTTTATTCTACTACGAAAAATTAATTTAATACATATTTTAACATTACAGTATCGGCTTTAGAAGGTTAATTTCCTTATATAACTAAATATAAATCAAAACTAATATTCAAATTTACTGTACAATATATATCGCTTGATATCACGATTTAAGAGGATACAGGAGCGAGAGCGATGGGTACAGATTATCGCCAAAAGTCAGCTGTATATCATGAGAATAATCACAACTAGTTCTCTCAGTATAATATATAAATTATATATGTATCGAATTAAAACATATATATATATATCAATAAAAAATACATTATTTAATTAATTTATGAATTCTCGCCTAGGTGCTAGATGCCCTTCTCACTGGCGCAATCGAAGATAAACACTGGGCATGAAAATAAATGCTCTGTTGACGAACAGTAACTTGTATAATATCTAGAATCGTGCTTGATATTGAACTCACTTTGTTGGGCTTCATTAAATTTGTTTATAGCAACAGCTATTTCTATCACTGAAAATAAAAGTATATGTATTTACATTATAGAAGTAA